GTCATGCCCTACAAATTGTTTAAAAAGCTAGATCTAGGTGAACCTAGAGCTACTAGGATGAGCATTCAGTTAGTTGATCGTTCCATCGTGCATCCTAGGGGTATCATTGAGGATTTGCTTGTTAATGTGGGTGCATTCACATATCCTGTTGACTTTGTTATTTTGGATATAAATGAGGATGTGGATGTACCTTTGATTTTGGGTAGACCGTTTCTCACCACCGCCAAGGCGCTTATTGATGTGCATAGTGGTAAATTGATTTTGCGTGCTGGTGATGAACATGCTACTTTTTTTGTGTCTGAGAATGGGAAACACTCCCATTTGCATGATGACGTAGATTACTGTGATGTGCTTGCTGATTTTGAGACCGCACTCGCTATAACGAGTGCGGGTACTGACGATGCTCTTGAGCGTTGTATTTTGCTATGTGAGCAGGCATCGCAGGAGCCACAACTGGCGGAGCAGTTGGCCGCGCTGGAGAGTGGCTCATTCTTGGATGGCGACAGGGTGTTCAAACCGTTCTCATCCTCACCCCGCATCACTCCTCCTTGGAGGAACTACCGGAGCTGGAGCTTAAGCCCCTGCCTCCTCATTTGGAGTATGCATTTCTCCAGGAGAGGAATAAGCTTCCAGTCATCATCAACTCGACCCTCACGCCCGAGCAGAAGGACAGACTGGTGGCCTTGTTGCAGCGGTACGAGCGAGCCCTAGCATGGAAGATCACAGATATTCGGGGGATCAGCCCCTCCTTTTGCTCCCACCGGATACTGTTGGAGGATGAGATGCGGCCAGTGAGACAGCCGCAGAGAAGACTGACACCGAACCCGGAGGCTGTGGTTCGGGCAGAGATCGTGAAGCTGATGGACGCGGGGATCATCTACGCCATTTCCGACAGCGAGTGGGTCAGTCCCACCCAGGTGGTACCCAAAAAGGGTGGGATGACGGTGGTGCCTAACGAGAAGAATGAGCTCATCTCGATGCGCACGGTGACTGGGTACCGTGTCTGCATTGATTATCGGCGTCTCAACGACGCCACTCGGAAGGACCACTTTCCGCTGCCGTTCATTGACCAGATGCTGGAGAGACTGGCGGGGCATGAGTTCTACTATTTCCTGGATGGGATGTCCGGGTACTTCCAGATCCCCATTGCACCAGAGGACCAGGCGAAGACCACTTTCACCTGTCCCTTCGGCACATTTGCCTACCGGAGGATCCTACTCGGGCTATGTAACGCCCCCGCCACTTTTCAGCGATGCATGTTGGCCATCTTTGACCGGCTAGTCGGCGAGATTATGGAGGTGTTTATGGACGATTTCTCGGTTTATGGGGACTCATTCTCTCACTGTCTCCATAACCTGGAACTCGTCCTTAAACGGTGTGAAGAAACGAACCTGGCACTGAGTTGGGAGAAGTGCCACTTCATGGTTCGCGAAGGCATAGTTCTGGGGCATAAGATCTCCAAGATGGGGATTGAGGTGGACAGAGCAAAGATCGAGACTATCAGCAAGCTGCCTCCTCCTACATCTGTTAAGGGGATCCGGAGTTTTTTAGGCCATGCAGGGTTCTACAGGCGGTTCATCAAGGATTTTTCGAAGATCGCCCTGCCCCTGACTAAACTTCTTGAGAAGGATGCCCCCTTCCAGTTCACTGATGCATGCACAGCGGCCTTCACGACCTTGAAGGAGAAGCTCACTCAAGCTCCTATCATGGTTGTTCCTGACTGGTCCCTGCCATTGGAGCTGATGTGCGATGCCAGTGACTTTGCTTTGGAGCTGTCTTGGGGCAGAGGCGAGATCAACACTTCCGACCTATCTACTACGTCTCGAAGATCCTAAATGATGCCCAGGAGAACTACACCACCACGGAGAAGGAGCTGCTCGCGGTGGTGTTTGCCTTCGACAAATTTTGTCCCTATCTGGTCTTGTCCCATGTGACCGTGTATACCGATCACTCCGCGATTCGATACCTGATGAGTAAGGATGATGCCAAGCCGAGACTCATACGATGGATCTTACTATTGCAGGAGTTTGACATTGAGATTCGGGACAAGAAGGGAGCGAAGAATGTTGCAGCCGATCACCTCTCCTGGTTGGACGCACCCCCTGCGGACAACCTCGAGGAGGAGATCAACGACTCTTTTCCAGACGAGAGACTGATGATGATGTGCCTGGTGGAGAGTGTCGCCCTCTGGTATTCTGATTTTGCGAACTATCTGGCGGGCCAGCAGCTGCCCAAGGGGATGACAACTCACACCAAGAGGAAATTTTTCTCTGACCTGAAGCACTACTTCTGGGATGACCCTCATCTCTTCAGGATCGGAGCTGACGGGCTCATCCGTCGTTGTGTTATAGAGAGTGAGATGGAGGGCATTCTATCTCACTGTCATGAAGGACCTGCTGGCGTTCACCACGGAGGAAACCGCACAGCAAGGAAGGTGCTACAGTCGGGCTTCTACTGCCCCACGCTCTTCAAGGACGCAGACACCTTCGCACGCAGGTGCGACCGATGCCAGAGGTCAGGTAACATCTCTACCCGTGATGAGATGCCCCAGAATGTGTTTATAACTTGTGAGATTTTTTATGTCTGGGGTATCGACTTCATGGGCCCCTTCCCTCCTTTGGTAATACATATATCCTTATTGCTGTTGACTACGTCTCTAGGTGGGCTGAGGCGCAAGTTTTGACCACTAATGATGCTAGACGTGTTTGTGGTTTTCTGAAGCAGTTATTCTCCCAGTTCGGGACACCTAGAGCCATCATAAGCGATCGAGGCACCCATTTCTAGGGCCAGTTTGATAAGTTACTGTCTTGCTATGGTGTGACTCATAAGGTGTCTGTGGCCTATCACCCTCAAACAAGTGGCCAGGCCGAGCTGACAAACCGGGAGCTCAAGCGTATCCTGGAAAAGACGATGGATCAGTCCCGCAAGGATTGGTCCATCAAGCTCAATGATGCTCTATGGGCATACCGCACTGCCTACAAGACACCCATTGGTACTTCACCGTACCGGCTCGTCTATGGAAAGGCATGCCATTTGCTCGTGGAGCTAGAGCACAAGGCCTTTTGGGCCCTTAAGCTGCTCAACTTGGATGTTAGTGTTGCAGGTGTTGAGCGCAAGATGCCGATGCTGGAGCTGGAGGAATGGCGTTATCACGCCTATGAGAACACCAAGTTGTACAAGGAGCGCACTAAGCGCCTGCACGATGCACGGTTGCGGGGTCCGAAAGAGTTCCAGGTTGGTGATCGAGTTCTCCTTTATAACTCTCGCCTGAAGCTCTTTCCCGGAAAACTCCGTTCCCGGTGGTCTGGACCGTTCACGGTCACACAGGTGTTCCCATATGGCACGATCGAAATTGCCACCCCGCAGACTGAATCGTTTAAAGTAAATGGCCATCGTCTCAAGCTCTACTTGGGAGGAGAGGTCAAACATGCGGAGTTGGCAGTGGAACTCGCGGACCATTAGTTCCGCCATGGGCGTCCAGCTAAAAGACGGTAAAGAAGCGCTTGTGGGGAGGCAACCCCACCACGGTTTGACTTTCTTTCTTTTGTTTTGAGTCGGATTGCAAATCGGTTTGGTTTTGATTTGTTTTCTTTTGTTTTGGATGATGTATTATTGGGCTGACCATTGGACCTAACATATTGTGTTTGAGCTCTTATGTTCCCCTTTAGCTGTGCTTTGTTCCAGACTGGTCCCTCCCCAGTCCGCTTCACTCGGCGGGTCCCCTTCCAGTCTCATGTAGTCCGTGCACACCGGTAACATCGTTCCCCTTATCCTTCCCTCTTCTCCATTGAGGGCAATGTCGATCTTAAGTGTGTGTGGGGGTGTTTATCTTTTGACTGCATTAGATCTGTTTGTGTGCTTGGAGCCTAGTCCACTGTCCAAATCTCGAGATTTGGGGGCTCCAATCACTGCTGTTTGCTTGATGTTTGATCGTATTGGCACTGTGGATGTGATTAGTGAATTGAATGGCTTTTGACTTGATGCATGACAACTTGAGTGTGACTAAGACAGCCTATTATGATGACTGAGATGTGCAGTAGAACTGTGTAGGGGTTCAGTTTTTCAACTGTTTGCTTACCAACTGTGATTTGGATTGATCACTTGCTTTTGACAGTCATTTATGCATCAAGTTCGGGGAATTAGAACGAGAGATAGAGCATTTAGGTAGCCATGTGAGATTTGAGCCTGCTTGTTTCTTTCTTGTGCGATAGTTCCCTCTTCCATGATGTGCAGCATTCACGTTGTCATTAGCTAAGACGATGGAGGCATAGGATTAGCCCACGACCAAATTGATTGTCCTGGTGTGTCATACCCCCTAGTTAGCCCCTTTGAGCCGTGTGTTACCCTTTCTTTCGGTCTACAATGCTAAATCACCCTTTTGCATCTCTTAGAAGGTTCCACAGAGTGGTTTCTTGCATGTTCTCTGCTGTTTCTGCTAAATATAATGTGAGAGTTGGAGGTAGTTCTTTAAAAGTTGGGCAGGTGTTTGAAAATGTGCAGAGGTGGTGGTTCTCTTAAGAAATGAAAAAAATGGAAGAAAAACAAAGAAAAAAATGAAAGCAAAAGAGAGCCACCACTAAAAATCTAAATAGTGCCCACTACGTAGTGTTTCTTAGCAGTCTGGCTTAGAAATACTAGCATTTATGTGACCTCCTTCGCTCTTGTGCTCTGAAGAATTTGAGTAATGCAGAATAGCAGAAAGAAAGTTTTTGGTTTGATTGACTGTGAGTTTGTTGGGTTTGGAAATGTGGAACCTTGTGCTATGAATACTTCCACCACCTAAAAGGCCTTTTCTCCATGTCTAAGACCCTAGCCAGTCATCTGAACCTGTGTCTAAGACCTCCAGATTAGTTAGTGGTGACACCTCATATGTGAACTCTAGCATTGAGAGGCTGCCTTCATGGTGAAGAGACGTTAGGGATTGAGAGAATAAGCATGCACATTTTTCGCATCAAATTGTCCTAACCCCACTGGTTGAGAGTGAGCGATTCATTTTCTCATATTCTCTATACTCTTTATCCCGGTGAGGACCTGATTGCTCGGTCTTAATTCTGATGATATCTTGAGCTTTATGCATGAAGTGACTGTTTTGAATAAGTGGTTGGGTCAAGTCTATGTTGGTTGGTGAACAGAAGGGAGACTCTTCCTTTGCTCGACTTTACTGCATTCGAATGTCATCTGTGGTGGTTGTCTAGGTTGTCGTTAGAGTTACCCATGTGTTAATGATCGAAAGCCAGTATGATCCACGTGTTTTGTGCCGATATGATATGCCCTAAAGCCTGCTTGATTGAAAGGTTTTGAGCTTACCTTGTGTCTGACTTGGTTTGCTTGGGGACAAGCAAACGGTTAAGTGTGGGGGAGTTTGATAGACCATTGATTACACATGTTTTTACCCCTATTCTTGAGCCGTTTGAGATGTCGATTCCCGTGTTTTAGGCCGATTTCACGCTAGGTTGTTCTTGTTTGTGATATTTCAGGTCCTAGTACGTGAATGAAGGTTTAGGAACGAGTTCGGGGTCGATTGGACGAAGTTTGGACGCTTGGCGAGAAGCTGAGAAGCCACACGGGCATGCCCAAAAGCACACGGCCGTGTGGGTGACCCACTGTGGCCGTGTGAAGGCTCGGCAAAAGCCACACGAGCAGACTGGACACTCACACGGCCGTGTGAGTCGTGGCCGCGTGGGAAGCCTGAAGTCACTTAACGAAACGCCGTGTTTTGCAAAGCCACACGGGCAGCTGGGGGAGTCACACGGCCGTGTGACATGGCCGTGTGAGTCGGGATTTTCTGGTTTTAAGCCAATTTTCAGCCACAAGTGAGGGGGATTCGAGTTTTAGAGAGACAGAGCGATTCCTAGAGAGAGAAAGCGACGAACAAGAGTTCCCAAGTGCCCTAGCTTGATCTTCATCACCATTGGAGCCCGGCTTGAGCTTGGAGAAGTGCCGATCGACGCCCAGGAGCAGAAATCCATCCTTCACAGTATGGTTTCCGCATCTGAATCTGCTTTTGCTTTTTTCTCCATGGAGTAGTTCTCCCATTCATCTGGGTATGGGAAACCCTAGATTTGTATGTTAGGTCTGATTGTATGAACCCAAGTACAGATTCTATGATTTGTTTATATTCAACTGAGGTTTGAATGATTGAATGGCATGAATCCTGATCAAATTCCTGTTGTTTCTGCTTTAACCTAGAAAGAGAATATCTGCCTAGGTTGATAGAGCACCCTTAATTGAAGGTAGTGAATTGGCGACTTTAGTCGAGGAGCCAATTCACTATTTTGTACCGAAGTTACTTCGGTAGAGGAGGTTTTGTTCATTAGGGCCTCAATCTGTTTACTCCGGTGGAGGTTAGTCGCCCACTAGAGACTCAGATTGAGAGGGTCTGGAGACCTTTAGTCGAGACTTCAGACTGTTTAAGAACCTTCCGCAGTATAACTATCTTAGAAACTGAACTTGGTAATTGCAATCCGGCTTAACTGCAGTCTATTGGGAACCATATCCGGGTGACCTTTCTCGACTTGAAACAACCGTTTAACTTGCTTTGTGTTTTTGTTTGTTTGAACCTGCACTTAAGTTTTATTGCTAGATAATAAGAATTCACTGAGTAGTCATCACATATAGGACCCGGGTTGACATTAAAACCCAAACCCGCTATACTACGCTTTAGGAAGTGGTTTCACTTGGCCATTTTCTAGAGTGACAGTAGGAGTGAGTCAAGTTCCTAACTTCCTATGCGTTAGTGTATTTACTATAATTGAGACCTAACAATTCTGACAATACCACTACCTCAAATTGTTGGCAAATGTTGGTAATTTCAGGTAGAGAATGATGAGTCGATCTTCTTATGGTCAGGGGATGTAGTGCTTGGTGGTACATAATATAGGAGATAACTTACAGGATTATAGGAATACCACATCACTAAACAAAGGAAATTTAGAAGGACAAAGGAGTATAAAAAATGAGTTGGGTGCAACCATTCAACATACTTACCTGGACGGGATCTACAGGCGATCAATAAGAGCTCTGGTCTAGGCCAGTGACCTCCATTGCACTTCGGGAGCGGTGTTGGGCTAAGGTCTCCCCAATGTGGGAGAGCCTACGTCATAACTTGTGGCAGCGGAGGTCTGCGTTCGCGCGGCCTCTACCCAAATTTTAGTTCAATTCTTTTTGGCGTTAGTCCATAATGTGTGCATTTATTCTATGTGTTGGCTTATCGTGTATAGTCTGTTGGATTACAAGTCTAGATTATAGATTGCACACATTTGAATCAAGTATTGGGCTAATGCGAATTTTATTAATGGATCCTGAATTAATATTTACGTGCATGTTAATCACAACCAAAAAATGGCTATGATCTTTTGATTTGTCTAACTATCTAGAGATTAATCTACTGATAATATTTTCAAGTTTGAGAAAACAAAAAGGATCAAGCTACAATCTACACGTTGTGGGAAGATGTTCGAACATGATGTGGTTTTCTAAAATGTATTTACTCTAAAGTTTATGTTCACCAAACGCCATTATATGTGACCATTGAATTTTGGTTGAAGTATACAATTTAAAATTTAGTACATCATCACTTGGTGACCTCAAATAACTTTTTTCAGATATATTTTTCCTTTTCTGCATGCATGTTTAACTTAGCAGTCAATGCCCCTGTTTCAATCAAACCAATTGGTCGAAGCAATATGTCAACGTTATGGTTTGTAGAGAAGCATGCATGGACATTGGACAGTTTAATTCATACTACATTTAGGCCCTAAGATAGTAAGAGTTCCTAACTTCCTATGCATTAGTGTGTCTGCTAGAATCAAGACCTAACAATTCTGACCATACCACTACCTCAAATTGTCGGCAAATGTTGATAATTTTAGGTAGAGAATAAGGAGTCGATCTTCTTATGGTCAGGGGATGTAATGTTTGGTGGTACATAAGATAGGAGATAAGTTTGAGGAGTATAGGAATACCACATCGCTAAACAAAGGAAATTTAGAAGGAGAAAGGAGTATAAAAAAAGAGTTGGATGCAACCATTCAACATACTTACCTGGACGGGATCTACAGGTGATCAATAAGACCTGTGGTCTAGGCCAGTGACCTCCATTGCACTTCGGGAGGGGTGTTGGGCTAAGGTCTCCCCAATGTGGGAGAGCCTACGTCATAATTTGTGGCAGCGGAGGCCTGCGTTCGCGCGGCCTCTACCCAAGTTTTAGTTCAATTCTTGTTGGCGTTAGTCCATAATGTATGCAATTATTTTATGGGTTGGCTTATCGTGTATAGTTCGTTGGATTACAAGCCTAGATTATGGATTCCACACATTTGAATCAAGTATCGGGCTAATGCGATTTTTTATGGATCCTGAATTAATATTTAGTTATTTGCTTTGCATGTTAATCACAACCAAAAAATGGCTATGATCTTTTGCTTTGTCTAACTATCTCGAGATTAATATACTGATAATATTTTCACGTTTGAGAAAACAAAAAGGATCTAGCTACAAACTACACGTTGTGAGAAGATGTTCGAACATGATGTGGTTTTCTAAAATGTATTTATTCTAAAGTTTATGTTTACCAAACGCCATTATCTGTGGCCATTGAATTGTTGGTTGAAGTAGACAATTTACAATTTAGTACTTCATCCCTTGGTGACCTCAAATAACTTTTTTCAGAGATATTTTTCCTTTTCTACATGCATGCATGTTTTGATTAGCAGTCAATGCCCCTGTTTCAATCAAACCAATTGGTTGAAGCAATATGTCAACGTTATGGATTGCAGAGAAGCATGCATGAACATTGGACAGTTTAGTTCATACTACATTTAGGCCTTAAGGTACTAAGAGTTCCTAACTTCCTATGCATTAGTGTATCTACTAGAATCGAGACTTAACAATTCTGACAATACCACTACCTCAAATTGTCGACAAATGTTGGTAATTTCAAGTAGAGAATGAGGAGTCGATCTTCCTATTGTCAGGGGATGTAGTGCTTGGTGGTACATAAGATAGGAGATAAGTTAGAGGAGTATAGGAATACCACATCTCTAAACAAAGGAAATTTAGAAGGAGAATGGAGTATAAAAAAAGAGTTGGGTGCAACCATTCAACATACTTACCTGGACGGGATCTACAGGCGATCAATAAGACCTGTGGTCTAGGCCAGTGACCTCCATTGCACTTCGGTAGGGGTGTTGGGCTAAGGTCTCCCCAATGTGGGAGAGCCTACGTCATAATTTGTGGTAGCGGAGGTCTGCGTTCGCGCGGCCTCTACCCAAGTTTTAGTTCAATTCTTTTTGGCGTTAGTCCATAATGTTTACAGTTATTCTATAGGTTGGCTTATCGTGTATAGTCCATTGGATTACAAGTCTAGATTATGGATTCCACACATTTGAATCAAGTATCTGGCTAATGGGAAATTTTTTAAGGATCCTAAATTAATATTTACGTCATGTTAATCACAAGTTCACAACCAAACGCCATTATCTGTGGCCATTGAATTGTTGGTTAAAGTAGATAATTTACAATTTAGTACTTCATCACTTGGTGGCCTCAAATGAGTTTTTTCAGATATATTTTCCCTGCATGCATCCATTTTTTATTAGGGGTCAATTACTCTCTCACTCTTGTCAAATTACGATAATTTCAAAGCTGCAACTGTAAATCTTGTCAAACTATGTCGATAGATCCAACAAATAAAAAGCACAATAAATCGCATCTTTGAGGTTGACGTTTACTGTGAAAAGCTTCGCCCGTGTTATATGAAGTGGTGGCGGCAACTACTACATATGTCTGTTTCGATGGAGATTTCAAGGACCTGCAATTAATTAAAGAAATGCATTGTAAAGTACCAAAGTTAACAATTAACTGTTTTCATAAACTTTTTAAACCTCTCCACCAATTTTTAACATTGGATCCCTTGTACTGGCCTTCTCCTCCCTCTTAATGGAGAGTACAGTTAGCTCATCATCATGGACCCTTTTGTTTTTCTTCCTCTGTCACTTAATACTGCACAAGGCTTCTTCTCAACTAGGTACATATACCATCAATTGCTTCTTAATTACCTGCATATGTAAAAAGCTAGCCTAGTTGGTGAGACATCTGAGGAGAATCGAGAGTTCTTGGTTTCAAATCCCGACACTAGTGTTGATTCATTCGACAGTACTTTCTAGATAGATGAAGGTTTTGCCCCCCTTGCAAGGGGATCAGAGTCGTTTAAGGGTTGCCTGACGGACATCCTCATTGGCCTCCACGAGCCCACTTCTTGGGCGTCTAAACCGTCTGTTATGGCCCAACATGTCGAAAATTAGCCTGATTGTAGCATTGGTGAAAGTAACATCAAACGGTTAAAAGTCATTTCAATGTTGTCTGGCGGGCATCCTGACTCACATCCATATATAAACCCACTACTTAGACGTCCAAACCACCTGTTATGGCCCAACATGTCAAAATTTAGCCTACTTATCATATAGATAAGTCTAAGACAATGAGAATTTTCTCATTAGTGAGTGACTAAGCAGCTACAGTCGGTTAAACAGACAAAATTGTCTCATACACCAAACCATGAGTTGGAGGAGTAACACCTGAAAGCGTCAAAGATGCGGCTTTATGTAAGGATCATCTTATCTCAATTTTTGGAGAGACCAACGATGCTAACGTGGCTTGTATGAAACACATCCCCATATCAGACGCCCGAAAAAAGGGTCTTAAGGCTTTTGTTTTAAGATGTCTTTTTCTCGGGTGTAGATGAGGGCGACAAGGTATCAACGGTGTACCTGCTTGTGTTATGTTCTATCAATAGCACCTAACCTATGTCTATTTTAGCGGACCGTGCTCCACCCCAATTCGCTATCCCGGTCACGATTTTCCTACCTCCGAGAGAAAGCCCCTTCCCTTTTTTGACCGGTAGTGGGCATCATGGGTGAGAAGAAATTCTAACACTCCAATACCGTGTGATTAATAGCCATACGCAGACAAGCTCTAATCCTCTGAGCTACCGGCCCTGCCCCATCTCCAGTCTCCACTGCAGTACCCTATTTGCGGCCTCATTGAAAGTAACATACCTTTTGTTATTAGAGTATGTGTAGTACGAGCCGTATTATCTAGTACCGTTATGTAATTTATCATAGTTATATTCCTTATCGGACTCGTATAAGTTATGTAATTTTCGTATTAGTATTAGGGTTATTTTCATGGTCTATGAAATCGTACCGTACCGGCGGTTCAACCATAAAATACTAGTATCGTAGGCTAAACCGATAAGCGGTGTTTAACGGTACTAACGATTAAACCACGGTTTTGCCATTAAAAAAAAATAGAAAACTCAAACCCTGCAGTTGTAAATCTTGTCGAATAACTATGACGATAGATCCAACAAAAAAACAGCACACTTCACCTTACTACATAGGTTGATGTTTACTTAGAGAAAATAGTTAACTACAACATATGCCTGTTTCGATGGAGATTTCAAGGACCAGCAATTAATTAAAGATCAAACAACTTTTGCAAAACCTTTTAAAAATCTCCCCACCAATTTCCGTACATTGTATCCCTTTGTTTCAGGCCTTCTCCCTCCTCCCTCTAAATGAAGACAATTAGCTCATCATCATCACCATGGACCCTTCTGGTCTTCTCCTCCCTCTGTCACTTACTACTTCTGCACAATGCTTCTTCTCAACTAGGTAAACGCATACCATCAACTTGCTTCTTAATTACCCGCGTCCGTCAAAAGCCAGCCTAGCTAGCTGGTGACGAGGAAATTTAACGACGACATCATATATCGCGGTAGTACTTGTACATGATCCACGACTTAATCTCTCTTCAACAACTCGAATTATTCGGACCAACTGGTTATATAACCGCTTGTTTAATTACAGATATGCTCCTATGGACGAACATCGACTGCGGCAACGAGGACCTGCCGCCCATCGGCCTGGACCTCCTGATCTGGCACCTCGACACCAACTACACAACCACGGGGATCAAAGCCCGCCTCTCCATCCCAACGCCACGGCCGGAGCTCGACACCCTCCGCTTCTTCCCCGACGCCACCGCGAAAAACTGCTACGCCGTCCCGTCCGTGAAGCTGAGCCTCAAGTACCTGGTCCGCGCCGGGTTCTACTACGGCAACTACGACGCGTACGGGCGGCCGCCGACGTTCGACGTTTACCTCGACGGAAGGAAGTGGACGACGGTGAACACAACGACGGCGCAGGGGGTGGTGTATTACGAGGCGGTGTATGTGACTCAGGGGAAGGATGAGATCGAGCTGTGTTTGGTTCAGACGAGGAGCGGGGAGGTGCCGTTTGTTTCGTCGGTGGAGATGGTGCCGCTGTGGAATGGGTTGTACAGTGAGATGGGGAACGAGGAGAGCTTTGCGCTTGTGGCTCGGACTAATCTTGGCGGTCCCGAGATCAGGTTAATTTTCTTTTGGTTTCTCCTTTTTAACCTGGGGTAAATGGTTTAAATCTTGTTGACAACATTACTCTTTATTGAGAGTGGTGATGGCAATAGGGCAGGCAGGTAATACTCGCGCGGGTACGAGGTAGGATGGGGTGACTCACTTTTACATGTTATTTGAAAAATATACACGTATAAAATTTTATTTTTTAATGATGAAATAATGGGGAAAACAATTTACGAATGGAAATATAGTGATAATATATAGTGTTATGGGACAATCCAAGTACCACATCGGTTATATAAGGGAAGGAACCCTTGTATATTAGTGTCCACCAAGCTCATTAGTACGAGGCCTTTTGGGGAGTACACCCAAGACTAAAACCGAGCGGGCTTGGCCCAAAGCGGACAATATCGTACTAATTGAGCGGCCCGGTTTGACAAGTGGTATCAGAACCTTTGGTTACGGTTTTGGGAATTTGGCGCTGGACTGAAGTTTTGCTTTGTGGAGGTAGCCTTCAATTTTGGTTTGGTGGAGGTAATCCTTGCGGTTAGGGTTTTCGATTATCAAGGATGTCTGTTCTGAATTTGAAGATCGAGAAGTCAATTTGGAGTTGCAGGCTTGGAGTTAGCAGTAAATTTGATGTTGGTGTTATGGACGGAAATAACACTAAGCTGGTTCTGCATGGCAAGTCCCAACATGGGTTGGACTTGCTGCATGTTTTGATTTGTTGACCGCCCTTAGGGGCATTTGGAGGCAGGGGAGATTCTGGTACAACTGTTTTGGAGAAGTTTGGTACGTCTGACAATTTTGATTGCATCTGAGTTTGGCGATTTGCATCGCGTTTGGTCTGGCGATATGAATCGCATTTGGATATGTCTGGCAATCTTGATTGCGTTTGAATCTGGCGGATCAAGATAATCGATGAGGTGAGGACACGATGTTCGTGGTCCTTGGCTTGAGGGGAGGATTGTTATGGGACAATCCAAGTACCACATCGGTTATACAAGGGAACCCTTGTATATCAGTGTCCACCAAGCTCATTAGTACGAGGCCTTTTGGGGAGGACACCCAAGACTAAAACCGTGCGGGCTTGGCCCAAAACGGACAATATCGTACTAATTGAGCGGCCCGGTTTGACATATAGGATAATTGAGTTTAACTAATTGAAAGAACGTGTCTAACCATTGAAGAAAAGTCAAAATAGGAGAAATATGAATAGATAATGTAAGAAATTGAGATAGAATGGGCCAAGAACGGGACAAGTCGGGTCGGAAGTAGATATCCATACCCGCCCCACGCTGCTGTGAGTCGCATAATAACCGTCCCATCGTGAGTCATGTTGGGTATTGCTCAACGCGGCACGGGTTCAAATTGCCATCACTAACTGAGAGGCGGGAGTACTTACGGTTTACCTAAGAAGTTGAAAAGATCATGAATTATTAATTTTTAGGGTAATGTCTATTTTTTATCCAAACCTTTTTCAGATTCTTTTATATCATCTAAACCTATTAAAATGCTATTAATTAGCCAAATCTTTCGTAATGCATCAAATTACTAGCCATTTTTTTTGCGTTATCGTTAATAATTTTGTAACTCTTTTCAAGTTTTCTTAGTTAAAATACCGAAATTTTGGAATATTGACCTTCGTGTGCCTCTTTCAAGTTTGTATCTTGTTGCAAAGTCAATATTACTAACAAAATTGCTAGTTGAAAGTTAACATTTGATTAATTCTTAGTATTTCGATAGGTTTGCCTAATAAAAAAGAAACCGAAAAAAAATTGGGATATAAAATAGACATTAAGCTTTTTTATTGAATTGATCTTATCATTTCGGTTTTAAGGAATTATAAGTTTTTTTTTAAGACAAGAACTATAAGTTTAAGAATAGAGTATAATTAATTTCATGCCCCAAGCCTAGCTTTGTTAATATGTTTTCAATACTTGTCATTCATAAAAACAATTTCCCTAATCGTACAGGAACGGGATCATCACCGGCGAATGGCACAACCGCATATGGACACGTGGACCCGACCCACCAAACACCACCGTCGCCGCCACCGTGGCACCTCTCCCTCTCCTTACTCCAACAGAAAACGAGCCTCCGCCCGCCGCGTTGTCCGACTCCGTCCAATCCAGCAACGCCCAATACACCATCTCCCTCACCGTCGACATCCCCAAATCAACTTCCAACCAACAAACGGCGGCATACCTCGTACTCTACTTCACGGAGCTGCTAATCCGACCAAAACTCGACGACACGAGGGTCATGGACGTCTACGTGGACGGCAAGATGACGGCGTCAGTGGAGGCCGAGCTCACGAAATGCAAAGTGGTCACGGTGTACCCGATTGCCGTCCAGCCGGATGCGGTCAGCATCAACGTCACGCTTGCGAAGTCGAATTCCTCGACGTTGCCGCCGATGGTCAGCGCGATGGAGGTGTTTACGAGGATCGAGAGCTCCGGCGCCGGCGCCGGAGGGGGTGGGTCAAAATCGACCGGCGGCGGCGGGAGAAGGCGTCTCGTTGTGGCGTCGTGTGCGGTTGTCGTCCATGTTGTCTCCATTTTGTTCATTTCTCTGTTTTAGTTGCTAATAATTTTCCCCCCTCTATTTTTACACAAAATTAAAGACATTGATCATCTCATATTCTCACTATCTTTAATTTTGATGTTTTCACATTTCTGAACAAATAAAAAGTCAAAATAACATTAGAATTGCGTATCCAATAATATGGGTATAATTTAGACCAAATAAAAAAGGTGCTGGATTTGCTCCAAAACTAAAAGTAATGAATCAAAATCATATTTGACTCGTAATATATTGGGTTTGCACAATATACAAAATTTGGGTCTTTCGTTCCATCTCTAACCGAGTATGAAAAAATCGGATACATGTATCACCAATAGCACTCAATTGGTATTTGAATTGAGCTGAATCAAACAAGATAATTCGGATTCCGTTTCGATTTTCATAGAATTATATAGAAGAAGGTGTGCCAAACAGAAAATGGAGACCAACACTCTGCCCAACAAGCAATTTGTATTGTGTGTTTCTAGTCATTATTGCCAGTTTCATGCTTCCCTAGCAACAACAAATAACACGTTACAAGATCACAATCACACTAGTTTAATTTCCTTTGGCCATCGGCCTCCAGGGGAGTTGGGTTCAAGTGGGCAGCAACTGCGTGCGGCTCGTTGCAAAGGCAGATCCCGCCCACGCAGCTGCAATTTGGCGATTGACACGGTGTCGCGCACGACAAAGGCTTGTTGTTTGTACTCACTGGTCTGCTCTCCACTGCTTTAATGTTATTTTCACCCGACATTTCAGACTCATTGCAAAGGCAAATCCCTCTCACGCAGCTGCAATTTGGCGATTGACACGGTGTAGCGCACGACAGAGGCTCGTCGTTTGTGCTCACTGTTCTGCACTCCACTCCATTCATGTTCTTTTCACCTGACATTTCAGAAGAGCAAACATGAATTAGGAAAAACACACTAATTTTAAAACATGTATAAAGCAAATATCGTATCGAAAACGTACCGAATGTGAAAACTAAGAGAGCAACCAAGAAGGCCAACTTCATAATTATCTTTTCCATGTCTTTTTCTTGTTGGGATGATTTCGTTCCCACTTGTTGGATGATCTACAAGTTTTCTACCAATTGTTTTTGAGTGTTTTGATCAGCTTTGCTGTTGGTTTGGTCGGTTTATATAAGGGCAGTCATGGTTTATAAATTGTAAAGATAATTCATTGATTCAGAAAAAAGATATGCATCACAATTATTTGAATTCCTTCTACTACAAAATTTATTTTGTCTATAGTTATATAATGGTTGCCATAAGTGTTTCTTCATAGGTAAGGTAAAACTGTAAAAGACAGCTAAATAGATTCCTTTTACAAGAAATACATACGTTATACCCGAAATTGATTTCTCAAATTAAGCAATTAAAACATTTTTTATGGTTAAACAATTTCATACATTTGTATTTGACAATCTAGGCAATTTTTCATTTTTTTCAAATTTGATAAGCAATGAATGGTATGTATGATTTGCGGAATACAACTCATGAAATGCAGAATATACCAAAAAAAAAAAAAAAGACACAAAAGAAAGAGTTAAATGTGGTGGGGGATGAATTTATTGGGCCGAGCAACTCGAGCTCGGTCCATCCAATATAAGGTACACTAAATCACTAATCCAAAAACGCCGTACTAACTACTAAGTATTAACTCAAGAGTTGAGCAACTTGTGGAAGTTTCATACTAGGATACACTTCTGAGTAATCTTTTTTTTTTATTATTATAAAAAAAGTAGGTCATTAAGTAGGTAAATAGACAAATCGAAAGGAAAGTTCCATACACAAATACACTACAAGGAAGGGGATATTTGAAGGTTGGCTTCAAGATTTGAGTTCTGCACTTGTTCTTGTGTTTCTCAAATACCTAATAGGGCCGTCCATCTTATGGCAAACAACGCTCTTTGATAGTTCGATTACTTGTTGACTACCGACGGTCTATGGAAAAAAGGAGAACGTACGTGGTTAGTGATGGCAATGGGGCGGGGCGGGTACCTCAATTCCCATGCTCCGCCCCACGCTACTACGGGTCGGCGCGGGTAAAACCCGCGCCGGTACGGGGCGGGACGGGTCGACCCACTCTTACATGTTGTTCAAAAAAAATACAAGTAAATTTTACTTTTTACAATAAAATGTAGGGAAAAGCACTTTAAGAATGAAAAATATTTATAATATAATGGATAATTGAGCCTAACAAGTTGAAGGATCGACTCTAACTAGTTGAAGAAAAGTCAAAATAGGAGAAATATGTATAGATATTGTAAGAAATTGAGATAAAATGAGTCTATAACGGGGCGGGGTAGGGCAGGGCGGGTCGGAAATAGATACACATGCCCCGCCCCACGCTACTGCGGGTCGGGTAATACCCGTCCCATCGCGGATCAGATCAGGTAATACCCGCGGGGCGGATTGAAATTGCCATCACTATACGTGGTCTTCCACCAACTACAAATATTTTGGGCGCACATAATGAAAAGGTTGAATAGTTGGATAGTCTTTGGATGAGCAAGTGAACATCATGAATGAAACATCGTATTATTAGTGGAGAAATCAAATACATGAAATGATGAAAAGGAAACAAAATAGGAAGCTTCCATGCTTCATGGCTGCACACTAACAGACCAATCATTAATCCTCTCTATTGTGCTTTGTGAAGATCCAAACTCACCACCTCCCATTAATTGAGAGGTGGAGGTAGTTGGGCAATTGTGGATACAAAAGAAAAAAAGAGATTTGAAATCAGAAGGTGCCCCTCATTTCAATCGAGAAGAGAAATATTTTGTTATGTTTGGTAAAACTTACTGTTCAATCACTTTTACTGGTGGACAATTTCTGTAATCACTTCAGTAGTGCTAGTGTTGAACAATTGCATTCTATTGTTTACTTTTATTATGGTGTGGAGTAGTTTCAAAGTTTCACATAGTGTAGGCATAAACTAAAGTGAGTGGATGTTGTTTCTAACTCATAGAGTCAATTTCACCTTATGGGATATTATTTGAAAATGAATTGCAAACGGCGCGAAGTATAAAAACGGCAACATATTGATGATCGATTGTTAAAAGAAATTGGTAACTAGATCAATTCGACGCCATGACTCACAAATCCATCATATATCACGTATTCCTTCTTTTGCTCCTTAATATGAGGTAATTCAATTATCCTCCAATGGATCGTCGTACCTTTCGATGATTTGGATCTACCGGTAATGTATAACTGATAGTTTGACAGATACGAAGTCTCAACGACCATTCATAGTGTCAAGGTTCTCCGACAAAGTGCTCGTGTAGGGTTAAGTGGAAGTTATATATATAAGTTACAATATGGAAAATTTCATGTGTCACTTACCATACGTGATGAACTAGTTGGGTTCAATTCAATAACTAAAGTTGTTGGCTCTCAAACGAAAGTCTACTCATGTGGACTTGAAATTTGCACAACTTTATGGGGACGTTTACTTGCGGGATTTGGGTGTTGTATTTGGCATCCAAATACCAAGCATTATGTATTTTATAAAAAAAACCCATTGTTTGTTGAGGTATACAAATCCGTGGGGTCGAAACTTTTTTTAGACTCCACGTATTTTCAAATATCACATTTCATTTGGTATTTGCAAATACCACATTATGGAAGGCAAATTCTTGGGACCCAAATACCAAATGAACTAAATCCATGATAAAAATTCAACTGAACAAACAATGTTATCTTTCAAATACAAAATGCAACAAATCAATCACAAATCTATAAAGGTTCTCAAAACTCAAAACCTTCATTTTCAAATCCAACAAGCAAATAAAATTATATGCCGAACAATGAAACTTATCAAGATTCGAACAAAAAACTTCTCTACTAAGAATCACAGGTACCAACCATACCATATTCACATAATCATGTCAGAGAAACAAAAACACAAACGAAGTACTTTATTTTTTATTATTTTATTAAATGGAACAGTCAGGCTCAGGAGTCAGGCTCACGATCATCGTCTTCTACCTCCCTACCCCATATGACACCTAACGACGATGGTAGTTCGAACCACCCCCGCGCGCCACTTTTCCTCTCGTCTATCCGTTCACACGCTGGACATGAAATTTAATAACAAAGCAAAAGAACACAGGGTACAAAGAAATCAAGATCCTCAGATTGTGCTTCCATTGCAATAGATTATAATACAAAAAGAATTTTCCCCACAGACAGCTCGACCTGTCAATCTCCTCTTTCCTCCTCGCTCCATTAATAACAATCCTGCAAGTACTCGGACCAGGACTTGGTTTCTCCTTCGTACTTCCCTTTCAACGGCTCCAAGCCCACCATTTCCCTCTCTCTCTCTCTCTGCTAGCTCATTCTCCCCCAATTGTCGCGTTTTGCTTCCACCTGTGTCGCCCTCTTCTCTGACCAGCCACCGGCCATTCCCTGTCCTCGAGCCAGTTTTTGTCTCCATCTGCCTTGTCCGGTCGCAGTCCCTCCACATCTCAAAGAGCTCAAAATGATAAGAAATTCGAACCCACATTACTAATTCCTCCGTACCCAATATTCCATTCCTGCAGTAGTTTTGTGTCTTTCCCTTCCCTATTTGTTCTCCCCCGAGCATCTCTACCGTCTAGTCACTAACAACAATGGCGGGGTTGACTGGGAGTCTTGGCCTGAACATCTGAATATAGTTAGTTCTCCTGTTTGTGGGTTTAATTTAAAATCTCCCTGTTCTTTCTTTTGGATGCTTTCGCTGGCCGGAGTTTGATTGATTCCGCAGGTTTGCCCCCTGGCAAATTTCCAAGTCTCAATTCCTTTCCCCTCACCCATTTCGTTTCCTTGTACTTGTTTTCTTGGGCGGGAAGGGATTGTCTTGTTCCGCCGTGTACTATTCAATATCCCCAGCTGTGGAATCGTTCTTTTGGGCATACCAGCCGTCCTAGCAAGTTTTTGCTGAATCGGGGAATCAAAAGCTTCGCTTTCCTATATTGTTCTCATTTTTCTCCCTCTTCCTCGAGTTCCCACATTCCATCTCTCTCTCTCTCTCTCTCTCTCTCTCTCTCTCTCTCTCTCTCTCTAGCTATCTTTCTCTCCGGGAGAGGTGTCTGCCTGTTTGGTCATGGTGATCGGAGGTAGCTTCAAATTCCTCATCTGGGTTGCTTCAGTTTCTTGCCTGGGTTCCATTTCGCTAGGTGGGTATGTTCCGCCCACCAACTATTTGATAAATTGCGGATCCCCTACCAGCGCCTCCATTGGGGGTCGAACATTTGCAGCCGATGATTATCCGTCCAGTATTTTGTCTACCCAGCAGAATATCTCTGTTGCTGGTCCGAATTCCGGCTCCATTTCTGCACCTTACGGCTCTGCTTTGTACCGAACTGCGAGGGTTTTCACTGAACCTTCACGGTACACTTTCTCAATCAAGCAGTCCGGCAGGGTTTGGATTCGTCTCCATTTCTTCCCCTTCGCCAGCGGCAGTTACAATCTCAGCACGGCTCACTTCTCTGTGGCTGCTCAGAACTTCACCCTTTTGAAGGAGTATAGATCGAAGGCCGATCCAGAGGCGAGGGAGTTCTCCATCAATGTAAACTCTGGTAATCTGGTTGTGAATTTCGCTCCTTTGTCTGGTTCTTTCGCTTTTGTGAATGCCTTGGAAGTGTTCTCTATCCCCGGCGGGCTGATTCCCGAGAGTGCCCAGATGATTGCCTCGGGGAGTTCTCAGTCATTGGGGAATCGGGCACTGGAGACGGTTCAGAGGGTGAACATGGGGAAGACGGCTGTGCTTCCTGAGAATGATACCCTGTGGAGGCTTTGGGCTTCTGATGACAAATTTATCAGACATGATTATCTTGCAGTCAACGTGACGGATTTCGCAGCTGTCAGTTACAAGAATAGAGGGCCAAGCAACTTCACTGCTCCTGTTTCAGTCTATGGCACAGCTACTAGATTGAACTCGGACGCTGATCCCAACACTTTGGCAAATGTTACATGGCACCTTGGTGTTGACCCTGGTTTTGATTATCTGATCCGGTTTCATTTCTGTGATATATTGCAGCCGAATCCTCACCCGAGCTTCTATTTCAATGTTTATGTTGAATCATGGCTGGTTTACAAGTATCTTGATCTGAAGAATCTCACTGGCTACGCCTCTGGTGCTCCTTATTCTATGGATTACATTGCAGGGTCGGTTGCTAGTGACACTCTTACCATAAGCATGGGCCCTCCTAGTAGTGATAACAATCCAATTGCCATCCTCAATGGCTTGGAGGTTGTTAAGATCAGCAACTCGAAGAACAGTCTCGATGTGCTCGACGTATCTTCTCCCAAGAGTTCCAAGTCAAATGCTCGTCTGAAAATCTTGTTGAGTGCGGTTGGATTGTTCGTCATTGTAGTAATATCTGGTTTGGCTGTGTTTTTCATTTGTTGGAAGAGGAGGAGATTTGCTAAAGCTAAGAAAGGTCCGTTTGCTACGTATGGAGGTGGTACGATATACTCAACGGATTACTCCAACGAGGCAGGATTTTCGACTTCGAAATTCGACTACCGATTCCCTTTCTATGCCCTCCAAGAAGCTACTGATAATTTCAGTGAGAATTTGGTGCTTGGAGCTGGAGGTTTTGGTAAGGTTTACAAGGGGGTTCTGAAGGATGACATGATGGTGGCAGTGAAAAGAGCTACTTCTCAATCACAAGGGATTGCAGAATTCAGGACCGAGATCGAACTGCTGTCCCAGTTTCGCCACAGGCACTTGGTCTCTTTAATTGGATACTGTGATGAAAGGGATGAGATGATTATAGTGTATGAGTATATGCAAAATGGCAACTTAAAAGATCATCTCTATGATTCAGATAATCCCAGCTTGAGTTGGAGGCAAAGACTCGAGGTATGTATTGGAGCAGCAAAGGGGCTTCACTATCTTCATACAGGAACTGCTAAGTCCATCATCCATAGAGATGTCAAGTCAGCAAATATACTGTTGGATGAGAACTTCATGGCCAAAGTTGCAGACTTTGGGCTCTCCAAAACTGGACCGGAGATCGACCAGACACATGTAAGCACAGCAGTGAAAGGAAGCTTTGGTTATCTCGATCCTGAGTACTTTCTGAGGCTCCAGCTGACAGAGAAATCAGATGTCTACTCCTTTGGAGTGGTGTTGTTCGAGGTTCTATGTGGCAGACCAGTCATCGACCCGTCACTGCCAAGGGAAAATGTGAACTTGGTTGATTATGCAGTGAAGAATCTGAAGAAAGGGAAGCTGGAGGAAATCGTTGATCCCAAGATACGAGACGAGATCAAGCCAGAATCGGTGAAGAAGTTTGTAGAGATAGCAGAGAAATGCCTGGCTGACTGTGGATTGTATAGACCTTCCATGGGAGATGTGTTGTGGAACCTGGAATGTGCACTCCAGTTGCAGGTGAATGAAGAGTTTGTTCTCCAGTTGGACGAGGAGATGCCCAGAAGCCGCCATGGTAATGCACAAATCAGTCCTGCCAAGAGCTTTGGTACCACCGTGATGGGAAGTACACAACTTGGTGACCTTGCTGATGTTTCGATGAGCCAAGTGTTTGCCAAGTTGGTGAGTGACAGCGAGGAACTTCATTTGCAAAAGTAAAAGACAAACTGGTGTTTGTTTATTCTTTGCTTACAGATGATGATGTTGATGTTTCATAGAGAAAACGAGGTTTGGTTCCATGCAAACCAATATATACTGCTGTACAGAAAGTCAAGGACTCTGGCTCATTGTGGAGTTCTGCTTTCATTCTTTTTGTAATTTATTGATTCAATTGGTTGGACCTTTTTCTCCCTTTCCTACACAAATTGGGACTTTCCCGTTAGAATTTCCCAAAATACTAAATTCTACGTCATTCACGTCATACTCCAACGATTTTGATAGTTGTTCATTGGACACAACAACAATTTAATTCAGATCGTGACAAATCAAAGGAAATCAGTCTCGAGCTATGAATCGTTGGAGATTGGAGCGAACATGCTAGATTGCCGCAAAGTCCACTGATCTAATCTAACCTCAAGATTGTTGGGTTCTCTAGTATTTACACCTAACATACTCGAAACTTTAAACGGTGGTGATTTTGCGCTTAATTTTCTGATCATAGTGATTTTTTTATTTAGCATAACTTTTTGAGATCTTTGAAACTAAAAAATCGCCGAAATCCGCCTTCATACACCTAACATTTTCAAAACTTCAAATGTACGTAACGTTGCTGCCCTAAACGACCATTTTAGTGAATGATTGCCAAATTACGCCTATTATAAGTTTCAACCTATATTAGATGTAGATCAATGGACATTCCATAGGTATTGAGAAATGAATGTTGTACTTAGGGATGACAATGGGTCGGGTTGGGTCGGGTTTTGCCAAACCCAAACCCAAACCCATGAGTTTATCTGTGAAAAAAACCCGGGGTAAAACTCACTGGGTTTGAAAAACTCAAACCAATCCAACCCGCTGGGTACCCACGGGTTTTTGTCGTAAAAAATTCACAATACAAGTTCCTATCAAAATTAAAGTCAAATATCAATTTCTTAATACAAATTATCCACATATAAAACACCATTCTAGAAAATTCAAGCAAATTACAAATTAACTATACAAATTGTTCAACACCAATCTAGAAAACTCAAGAAAATTGAAGCAAATTACAAAGTATCCATATATAACATGATTAATTGAAAACTTCTTCTTTTCAATTAAGTTTTTCACTCTCCACTCGATAACATCAAATTCATTCTACACAACTAGAGTGAAAAATTAGACATGTCTCAACAAACATAAATAAGATTAGTTGTTTAGAATATTAAATATGCTGAGAAAATTAATTATATGGGTGTGAGCGGGTACCCATGGGCCGAGTTTACCTAACCCAAACCCAACCCAACCCGGTGAATAGCGAACGGGTTTAAACCCAAACCCGACTCAAAACCCGTCAACACAGATCTTACCCGCGTTGACCGGGTTAAGTCGGGTGGGTACCCGTGGGTTCGGGTTTTGTTGCCATCCCTAGTTGTACTAGGTGTTAGAGAGTGGTATATGATCCAGTATAACCTTCTCCCAACAACTCGAGTTATTGGGAGCAACTGGTTCTTGACATGGTATTAGAGTCTAGAACCGAAAGGTCATGTGTTCAAATCTCCACGACCCCCAATATTAATGGTTGTCTTTCAAGCACATGACATGGTGGGCCTGTGCGAACTTCATGGACTAGAGTCTAGAACCGAAAGGTCATGTGTTCGAATCTCCACGACCCCCAATATTAATGGTTGTCTTTCAAGCACATGACATGGTGGGCCTGTGCAAACTTCAAGCCCATGAATTGACTTTCATTTGAATCGTTTTTGTTGCCGCGAATCACACTTGTTTGCTCCATATTTCAGGAACCAGTATATAAATTGTTGGACACTAGAGCAAATGACGCCAAATTTGTGTATTTTGGTAATTTTAGTGTAGGTGTTTCAGGTAACCGGTATATAAATCGTTAGTAGGTCACTACTCTCACTAGTAGAGGTGGAAATTGGGGTGAGTTTGCTTACTCGCCCACATTTTGCGGGTAACCACATTCACAAATATAAAATTATGCTACTCAAAATTTGCCCCGCAACCCGCTGCGGGTTGGTGCAGGTTGGTTGTGGATACCCACAAAAATTTCACATTAAATATAATAATATGGTAATTAAATAGTGATGTTGTGTTTCTTTTCACACAAAAACAAAAACATTTATAAAAGAAAGTTATAAAGTGTTAAATAAATTATAAATCTCGAATACAATAGGTTAGTTAGTGTAAATTCAGAATAGATTGATTTGGAAAGAGATTTGAAAATAACGGAGAGACGCAGTGATATGTTACCAGACTAACATTGTTGCATGTCACGACTCCTTCGATGGCAACATCAGCAAAACACAAAAGTGCCTCGATAAGTGGAGGTGCCCAATTTTAATGAATCGATTATTCTCCACTCTCGATTATAGTCATGTATTGTTGATAGCTGGGTGCATGTTGTGTTGTTCGTGAGTTCGTGGAGAAATGGAGATGAGTTTGAGTATCAGACTAACCTTTATCGATTATTCCCCTCTTTTAACGAATTAATTAATTTATTTGACTATATATATGGACTTGGTTTTGTTATAGAATAAACATGTACCAGAGGGACAATGTTTATATAATAAAAGTATCTCACATGAACATTGCGTATTGACTTGGTTTTGTTTTATAGAATAAGTGCATATTTAATTTTGGTAGCTACTTTAATTCTTAGTCTTCCAAGTTTCACAAACTAATATAACTTTCCAAGTTTCACAAACTAATATAACTAATGTGGTTTGTGTGGATTATAAAGTATTTTGAAGAAATAAATATAACTAATGTGGTTAATATGGGTTTTGTGGGTAAACCGCTGTGGGTAGTGGTTAACTACTAACCACAAAAATAAATATTTTGCTACTCACACCCAACCCACTATCTACAAATTGTTAGTATGAGTATCCACAAAGTGTGAAGTTTGGCAACCAAACTTCCCCTACTAGGTTTTGCATTTTGAGAAAAATCACACGAATTATTGTTTTCTCATGAAGCCATCATATGGGCCTTGTTTTTACTGGGCACGGATTGTCTAAACGGGCCTTAATTTTCCGGACATAGTAGAGATTCGGCCTCGAAAGAGAATGTGGGATGGTGCTGAAGTAAACCCGAAGGCCCCAACCGTCGATTTTTCCCATGCTAATTCTTCCGATTGGTCGGAATTTCTAACAAACGCAACCTTTTCAGTCAGTATAGCTTATTTTGGAATATTTATAGCCTCTTCTTTATATAAGCCTGTTTATTCATCATTTCAAAATTTGAACTTCTTTAATTCGTTTGCTAAAAAAGGTCTTAAAAGAGTTCTTAGGGATAAAATATTACATGTTATATATGATTGGTCCTATAATCGTGGTTACATAGATACCTTTTATGAAAAATCATTAAGTGAGGGGGTAAGAACTTGCCACTCTCTTGGTAATCCACCACAAAACTGCTCACATTTAGCTGGATTTGAGGCTAATCCAGACAGCTGCTTGAATCTTTCCAGAGCCCTTTGGATACATTGGAGACCTAAATTGGAACCATCTGTAATAGAAATCGTGGATCAGAGAGTGATCGGGAGTTATCATCTGCAGCAGATAGATAGATGGGCCCAAGCGAGCGAGTAAGCGGCACAAGCTCTTGCTTGATATGATCGAGGAGATAGATTAGTATCTTGCATGGTTGCACCAACAGAGCCTCTCGCATGCTCCTGAACAGTCGACCAAATAAGAGTTCTGTATTTATTCGCAAGATCACTTTTAACCCTATAGGCGTCTTCTCCTGCTTTTAAAAAAGGCGTTAACTTCCTCGATATTCTAAATATTTTTGTCGGTGAGATATTTTCCTCCCCGATGGTCTAAACCGGGTATTCACTCGCTTTCAAGTCTACGATTGTTGGGTCTTCATGCAATGCATAACGGGCGGGCCTCCAACTCAATGAATGAAGGGAGGAGTCAATTGAATAAGCACTTCCCTCAGAATTCGTCGAACTCGAAATAAGAGGCTTTGCCTTGGTCTTTATTGCGCACTCCCTGTTGTTCTGTTTCCGCCACGAGAAAGACGCACGGAAGAGATATGCCCAGCGCGCGGAGGATCCGTTGAGACTTTCTGTTGTCTCGGTAGGGAACTGTATGATCTTTTCCCACCGCGGTCGAAAAAGCGTGTTCCCTTCAGATAACACGCACCGTAGACCATCCTCGGCCTTCTTCGTTTTCGATGAAAAGGTCGGTTCGCCAAGTCTCGTTAAAACTTAAAACTGCTCTTATTATCTTCTCTCATCTCACTTTCCACGGGGAACAAGAGAGAGAGAGAGAGTGAACTCTTGGAAACCCTAGCCATGGATCGTTCCGCCTCCGATAAGGATAAATCGACCAAGCGGTCGCGCGACGAGCTTGATCGTGACTCAGGCAGGGACCACCGCGATAGGGAGCACAAACACAGATCGAGGGACAAGGATCGAGATGGCAATTCTTCCTACCACCGCCGTTCGGAGCGAGAGGAAAAGCATCGCGACGGAGACCGCTACCACCATCGCAAGTCGTCAAGGCGCGAGGATCGGGAGGGTTCTCGTGACCGGGAAACGAAGCGAGAGCGGTCGGTTGATTTGAGGGGAGATGATCGAGAAGGCAGCAGGGAGAGAGTTGATCGGTCTCACGACCGTCGGAGGCGAGATGAAAGGGAACGATCCAGGGAGAGGTCGTACGACGGGAGGGACGAGAGGGAAGGGAGTAGGGATAGGCACGATAATAAGCTGCGGGAGAGAGAAGTGAAGCGTGAGAGATCGTATGATGAAAGCAAAGAGGGGGATGACGTTTCGAGAAGGAAGAGGAAGGATAGAGAAGACGGCGGGGATGAAAGGGAGAAGAAGGAAGCGAAGGTATCGGATGGGAAGAGGGAGAGGAGACGATTTGGGGATAAAGTCAAGGAAGAGGACGATGTTGATAATGGGGATAACTCGCGGGTTCCTGATAATGCTACAAGAGGTGAATTTAGTGAGGTTAAGGTGAAAGAGGAAGTGAATGACGAGTCAATAGCTGGCGGTGGCACCGTCAATGGTGGATTTCCAGCTGATAATGTGAGTTTTCCATAACTTTGAACTTGCTAGTTTTTTTTGCTTTTGCTTATTCTGGTGTGCATCCTCTTTGGCTTGTTGCAGTGTGTTGTTTGAGGTGATGTGAGTATTGAATAGCGATCTGTTGGTTAGGTGGTACTGTGGTAGTGGCTTCACCTTCTTGGTGGCGTCAGATGATTCAATTCACTCTAGCGAGTGTGACCAATTATGTTTCTTACCTGTACGTGAATTAAGTCGCCTAACAAACTGGTTATGTAGCCTTTGGTGCTCTTTTTTGTGTGTGATCGTATTCTACTTTTTTCTAGTTTCACTTTTCAATGGTTTAATATGGATGCTAGTGTACTAGTTTTTGAACACCTGACTAACTTGTTGATGTTCAGTTCAGTTAAGTTCGATTGCGGTTGGCGCTTTAGTTAGTTAGTGCAGGATGATTCTCTAATTCGTTGTAGTTTTCTTGCCACCCCAGCCCTACCCCAACACATTCAAACCTATTGGTGTTGCGGTGATGTTTTTTTACATGCTGAGATATATTCATTGTCAGTTATTTCCGCCACTGGGTCTTTTCTGTTCGACTCATTATCCTCATGACTTCCATCTTCAGCTCTGCAATCCCTGGCTACTGTCAGGGCAGTACTAACTGTTTGTCTTTGACTTGGCCTTTTTATCTGAAGATTTAAGTTGTTTCTTATTTACAGTTCCTAAGTTTCTAGAGTTGGCCTGCATTACCTGTTAGACTTTTTATACGTGTCATATTTGGCATATGATTGCAATTGTTCTGGTTGTGATGATCTTGTGACAGTTTCTTCATTGTACCCTTACCTACCCTCTATATTTTATCTGCAAAGATATAACCTTTTCTAACTTTTATCTGCAAGGCTGAGGCTCATGTTCTCATTATTCTCCCATTGATAATCTGGTATTGTTTAGCTTTCTGGTTCCCAAATTAACTTTTGATGTTATTCCAGGGTGCTTCCTCCGGATCATTGACTAGAAGCATTGCTGGATCCTCTGTAGCTCCTGACTTTTCTGTTCCTATCAAGGTATCTTCAATTTCAAACAAAACTGAAAATAAGGGAGTTAGTATTACCAGATCTCATGAGGTTCCTGGAAAATCTAGTACAGATGGGACATCATCGACTGCCGGAAAAAGTGGAAATTCATCCCTTGATGTATTAGCAAAAGCTAAGAAAGCCATAGAAATGAAGAAAGAGTTGCAAGAGAAGTTGAAGAGGATGCACATGGTAAGTTCCAACTCTAATTGGAAAGCTTGTGCTTCAACTGTTGTTGGGTTAATCAATTTATCGTAGACTAAGATAAACTACAGTCTAAACCCTTGCATAGTTGGGTTAATCAGGTTCTGCTTCAAACATTAACAGTTGTTTCCTTTGTTCCTGTAGTTGACCAAGACAAATATTTCGAGTTCAGATGGTACCAACATTTCACGGGCCAAAGATGGTTTGAAAGTTCCATCTTCTACTCCACAGGGAGTGGGTGCATTATCCACAACAGCCACAATCGGTGTTTCAGCTACTGCTGCGACTCCGTTGGTGCAACCTGCTAGCGGTTTGCTCCCAATTCCTGGTCTTAATAGCACACCTAACTATGAAGCTGTCAGACGTGCACAAGAGCTTGCGGCAAAGATGGGCTTCCGTCAGGATCCTGAATTTGCTCCACTTATTAATATGTTCCCTGGACAGATGCAGACAGAGGCTGCTGTACCACAGAAGCCGAGTAAGGCTCCTGTTCTCCGGGTAGATGCACTAGGCAGGGAAATAGATGAACATGGAAATGTTGTGAGTGTGACTAAACCAAGCAACCTCAGCACACTCAAGGTTTGTACAAGTTCTTCTGACCCATGTAGCTTTTTATTGATACCATTTTCAAGTTGCTAGTACATAATATCCTTGTGGTCTCCTTTCAGGTGAACATCAACAAGCAGAAGAAGGATGCTTTCCAGATTCTTAAGCCTGAGCTGGAAGTAGATCCCGAGTCAAACCCTCATTTTGATGAAGGTATGGGCATCAATAAGGCTAAGCTTCTGAGGCCTAAGCGGATGTCTTTCCAGTTTGTTGAGGAGGGAAAATGGTCCAAGGATGCTGAATCAATAAGACTAAGGGTAAGTCCATTTTGCGTATTCATAATGCTCCCTTTACAATCAGTTCTTAATACTTTTTAATCCATACAGTTGACTGATGGTTTTGTCATATGTTGTTTTCAGCATCAATTTGGAGAAGAAAGAGCAAGAGATATGAAGGCCAGACAAGCACTTCATGCAAAGGCTAAAGCTGCTCCTGACGTGAATCCTAATCTTATAGAGGTAGGAGAGAGAGTTGTGACCAAAGAGAAGGCAAAGGACCCAATTCCTGAAATCGAGTGGTGGTATGTCATATGTTCCTCATTGAGCTCGTAGAAGGAATTATTGGATGGAACTGTTCTATTTTGCCTGAATCTGTTTGTTGTTGGTCTAATTATTTTTGTTCTGGTGTCAGGGATTTGCCTTTTCTTGTTGGTGGTGTCTATGGTGATTTCGAGGATGGCATTGTACAAGACAATCAATTGAAGACGGATAAGATCACAATCTATGTGGAACACCCACGCCCTATTGACCCTCCTGCAGAGCCAGCTCCTCCACCACCACAGCCTCTGAAGCTGACCAAGAAGGAACAGAAGAAACTCCGAACCCAGCGCCGTCTCGCTCGTGAGAAAGACAGGCAGGAGATGATCCGACAGGGCCTGCTCGAACCGCCAAAACCGAAAGTCAAAATGAGCAACCTAATGAAAGTTCTCGGTGCCGAAGCGACGCAGGACCCCACAAAGCTTGAGAAGGAAATTCGCAGTGCGGCTGCAGACCGTGAGCAAGCTCATATTGATAGGAACATTGCGAGGAAGCTCACACCTTCTGAGCGACGCGAGAAGAAAGAGAGGAAGCTGTTTGACGACCCGAATACCGTGGGGACCCTGGTTTCTGTGTACAAGATAAACGATCTGTCCCACAAGAAGACCCGATTCAAGGTCGATGTGAACGCGAGCCACAACCACTTGACTGGGTGCTGTGTTATCTCCGAGGGAATTAATGTTGTGGTTGTTGAAGGTGGGAGCAAAGCGATCAAGCGGTACGGGAACTTGATGCTTAGGCGTATAAATTGGGCCGAGGCTGTGAACGACGACGAGGGTGAAGATGGTCGAGATGACGACGACGAGGATAAACCACGTAACAATTGTGTGTTGGTGTGGCAGGGAATTGTTGCTAAACCTAGCTTCAACAGGTTCACTGTACACGAGTGCATGACTGAAGCTGCTGCCAGGAAGATATTTGCTGATGCTGGTGTCGTCCAGTACTGGGATCTCTCGGTCAACTTCTCGGACGATCAGGTCTGAGGCAGAGCCATTGCCCGAGCTATTAGTTGGTATCGTATCTCTTGCATTTCTGTTGAGGAGAGTTAACGTGATGAGTTGGAGCTGTGTTGTGCTTGGTTGGTTTGGATGCACAATCTCTTCTGGATGTTTGTGTTGTATGTGCGGCATTGGTGTCTGTCTACGAAGTGTGTGATTCATCCTAGCCTACACTACATGTTTCTCTGGCAAATTGTTGCTTGTAGTTTGAGTGCTTTAGGCCCTGTTGACTTCCCATTCTGTTTCCTGTTGCCACAGCAAGAATTTGGAAACGAAAAGGAAAAAACTCGTGTTCACTTTGTCTCCTTTTTTAATTCATGCCAATCATTCTGGACTGCTTTGCTCACTGCCATGTCTTTATTAGAAACTGTAGCTGGGTCTGAGATCGGGTTCTCCGTCTCTTGCTCTTCTTCACTCTGTTTATGAATGGTATTTGTGGATCCCTACTGCTAATTAACGTAAGCCAACTGCTAGCAGGTTGGACGAGTCTTTGTATTGTTTGAACCTTGCTTTCTGTTTTGCCCAGTTCAGGTATGTCACTTATTCCCAAGTGGCTGGTACGCGTGGATCGATGTAAGCACTCGATACACTGCGATAACGGCAGTATGTCTGTCTACTCGAATCCGTCCAATACTCGTAACATTAGTATGTGTGCCTTCTCTTCCATTTCATTCTCCTATGTACCCGACGACAGCAGAATCGAAAGTCGCTGGTAATGTATGTCGAACCGTGATGATGGAAGGTATGATACGATAAGGGCAGGTAACTTCATGTTGGACGGCAGAACGGAAGAAGGGTGTCCCAATTTGTGGGAGACGAGAACTGCAATACAACAGAAAGTTGACTTTTCTGTTAGTGGGTGCTCGAGTTTTAGCCGAGCGACCTGTTTTTAGCTCGCCAATCGCTCCAATTCCGTTGAATCGTCTTTGCGAGGGCTTGGGGGTCGAAATCAATGGTTTTGGTAAATAGTAGCTGAGGAAAAGCGGGGTGCAAGTTAGTTTATGGGTTGGTGAAAGTGGTGATGTAGCTAGCCCACATCTACAAACCAACTACCCGACCCGACCCCCCGTTTATTTTGCGTTATTAAATTTATAATAATCTTGTTTAACTGATCGCTTTCTTGTTGGTTTCCTCTTCATTCTATCTATTTCTCCTTTCCACATAGGGTCTTCCCTCTTGGTTCTTAGTGCGGGCTAGGGATGGCGATGGGTCGGGTTTTGCCAAACCCAAACCCATGGGTTTATTCGTGAAAAAAACCCGGGTAAAACCCACTGGGTTTGAAAAACTCAAACCCAACCCAACCTGCTGGGTATCCATGGGTTCCCACGGGTTTTTGTCGTAAAAAATTCACAATAACAAATTCCTATCAAAATTAAAGTCAAATATCAATCTCCCAATACAAATTATCCATATATAAAACACCATTCTAGAAAATTCAAACAAATCACAAATTAACTATACAAATTGTTCAACACCAATCTAGAAAACTCGAGAAAATTGAAGCAAATCACAAATTATCCATTAATAACATGATTAATTGAAAGCTTCTTCCTTTCAATTAAGTTTTTCACTCTCCGCTCGATAACATCAACTTCATACTACATAACGAGAAAGAAAAAATTAGGCATGTCTCCACAAACATAAATAAGATTAGTTGTTTAGAATATTAAATATGCCGAGAAAATTAATTATATGGGTGTGGGCGGGTACCCATGGGTCGGGTTTATCTAAACCCAAACCCAACCCAACCCAACTCGGTGAATAGTGAATGGGTTTAAACCCAAACCCGGCCCAAAACCCGTCAACACGGATTTTACCCGCGTTGACCGGGTTGGGTCGGGTGGGTACCCGTGGGTTCGGGTTTTGTTGCCATCCCTAATGGCAATGGGTCGGGTCGGAGACGGATAGTACATATCCATTATCTTACCCAAAGTAGTTCGAGTTTTACCCATACCTATACCCACATGTAAAACGGGTATATAATTAAAACCATGTCAATACCAGTTCGGGTTTCGGGTATCCATGGTTATCCATGGATAATAATTTCTCTTCATAACTCGAACCAATATATAAACATTCACACGTATTCTCACATTACGTAAGAGGAAAAGTATGACAATAATTCACTAGAATGAAAAAAAAAAAATTAATTGAAACAACACAATTTCATGAAAATATTATATTTATATGCTAAATATAAAATATGTTAGAGAAAAATAATGATTATTTCTAAATAAAATACATATGTATGTGTATAATCGGGCGGGTTCGGGTTGGATAGTAAGAAACCCATGCCCACCCATTACCGGCAATATTCGGGTTCGGGTTTTACCCCTACCCACTAAATGTCCTTCGGGTTCGGGCTTTACCCTATCCGATTAGGCCGGGTTCGGGCTGATATCCACGGTTACGAATATTTTTGCCATCACTAGTGCGGGCTGCTTTGGGTTCCTTAACCACCAGAGACCGCGGCGGATACAGGATAGGATAGTCGATAGAGCACTAAGCCACATTTGAAAAGAGGCGGAGAGAATTGGGCCGTAACGCGACGAGCATCGAAACTAACACCAAAAATCGAAAATTACAAGGGCTATACTAGCTAGGGATGGCAATTTTGACCTGACCCGATTTACCCGACCTATTTGGCCTGTTTTGGGGCGGGGCGGGCATGAGTACCTCTCATCGACCCGACTTGCCCTGACCCGTCCCATTCTCGACCCGTTTTTGCCTAAATTACATATAATCTTAGTCAAATTACTTAGAATTTTCCTCTTATTACATTATATTTTAGCTATAATAAAGTTGCAATTAAGTGAAACCTCAATTTCTTCAATAATTTAACTAGATTTTATCATATTATGATTTCTTTCTTGGTCTTTTAATAAAAATAATAAATATTTCTAATGTTTTTTACATAAATTACATACTCATTGGGTAGACCTGCCCCGACCCGTGCCCCGTAATAAATTAACCGACCTGGACCCGACCTGTCATGGGGTGGGTATAGGTATCGAGATACCCGCCCCGAACCTGCCCCATTGCCATTCCTAAATTACTAGCTCTGGATCCATTGGAGGGCTGGACCGTGGCCTGGGGGTGGCCCCTCCTGGATCCGCCGCTGACCAGGGATCAATCTTGAGTGTGTACTATAAGGAATTGGTTCTTCAACACAGGGACTAATATTTCTGACTAAACGTCTTTCTAGTATTGTACTCGGTTATTGGATTGTGAAATTGTATAGAATGTTGAAAGAGTTGAGATTAACAACTCAAATGCATGGCATATATAGTAAATAGGGTGTAACAGCAAAAAAAATCGAGATTATTTCTATTTCGGGAAGATTTTCTCGAAGGCGGCGTATCCTTACATTGACGCAGTAAAAAAATTAGAGTAACACATTGTTTTTTCCTTAGTGTTTCCTCAGAAAAACCAAATACCAGCGCCGGTGCCGAATTCGTTTTCGGGCGGTGTTGATGTGATGTTTCGCGATGGAAACTCTTGCGGTGCCGTTTGATCGGATGCACCACCGACTGATGAAGTCGAGACGACCGTCAAATATTCATCGGGCAGTGTCGATTTGATCGGTGCAACTCTGACTTCTGAAAACGATGACGATCGTCAAATATCCACCGCCGTGCGATGTTGATTTGATCGATGCACCTCTGAATGGTGAAATCAACGTGACTGTCAAATATCCACCGCCGGGCGATATTGATCTGATCGATGCACCTCTGACTTCTAACCAACGCGACTGTTACTACGGTTCGCACCTCTCCAAACTACGTTCGAACGAGGGTGTTTGAGTTTTGGGGAATCTACGTTATGACTACTCCTATGGAAATTCCTGTGGAGAGCTTCGCGACTACTTCCACCAACTATGGAGATCCTTACTAGAAGGAGAGCTCCGCGAAGGAGTTACAGAGAAAAGGTAAAGTTTTGACAGAGTTGTTCTGTGTTGATTTTTGGTTGTCCATTCTCTCTCCTTGCTCTGGTGCTTTTATTCGAAAAGCATCTTCGTAGTCTTCACGCTCCGTGAAACCGCTTCCCCAACTGCTCCGTGGTGAACTCCCACGTGTCTTAACCGCCTTGATCTCCTCCTCGCTCTAGTTGGCGTGAATCTTACGTGAAAGAACAAATCGTCGTTGCACCGTTGTAAACTGCCGACACTGCATCTCCAACCTCCACTTTTATCCACATGAGACACACGTGTGAAGTACCTAAGCCCAGGTCTGGTATCGCGGTTCGAACATCGACGTTGTTATTTCATGGCCGCAATACCGTCATGTATTTGAGCCACAAAATTATTAACAAAATCGCATTATTAATTGAAATTGCACGCCCTTGCAAGACCCGCAACGGTGTTGGTAATTAAATTTCACGCCATTGTCGGACTCGGGACATTGCATAACTAACCTCACGACATCGCTGAGATCGGTGTTGTTACCCATCGCAATGTCGTTGAGCTCGCATCACTGTCAAATTCACAAATTGAATTTACGACATCATTTAACTTCGCGGCATTGTTGACCGCTGAAATTGTTTACCATGCAACGTCGTTGGGTCTCACGCAATGTCGTTTTCTTTCGCAAAAAACTCTATCTGCTTTTTTTCTCCACGACATTGTTTTATATTAAACATTGTCGTTTTTAAATCTGCGGTATCGTTTTACTTCTCCGCGATGCCGCTTGTTTCAACGCGGTATCGCTTCTCCCCTTCCGACAAGGAATAAATAATAAAGGGTAATGTCTATTTTTTATCCATAATCTTTTTCAAATTCTTTTATATTATCCAAACCTATTAAAATGCTATTAATTAGACAAATGTTAACTTTCATTTATCAATTTTGTTAGTAATATTGACTTGACAACATGATACTGATTTGGAAGAGACACATTTCGCCCAAGGACCGTCTTCCTGAACTCGGTTTCTTTCTGATTTTGGCAAAAACTAAACCCCGCAGACCTCTTTGGCGTTTGGCATGCACGTGGGTTAACTGTCTGTCACCAAGGGGAATAATTATTACCCTTTTGTTTCTTACCGGCGGAGTTGCTACTTTGAGATGGCTGATTTCATCATCCACATGCATATTCCTGGTGCAAAGGCTGGAATGTCACACATAATTCATATACTCTTCCAAAGTTTCAGTTACGAAACCCCTCCCAAGTTACCATTAATTCTGAGTGACCAATGGGTGCACTGGAAAGGATAGTTTAACAGTATTCTATAACTTAACCCATTCTAGATCAAGGAGTAAGGGATCAGAACTCTATTTATTGTTCCTGTTAGTAGGGAGAAGAGAGAACATTTGGAGGAAAGGTTAATTGAGAATAATTACCGAGAAAGCTAGCCATCCATTTAGATTCAGGCATTAATTACCAGACAATTAACTTGTGTTATCGTCATTATTATAGTTTACCGTACGCATATCAATGGCTAAATTATAGCCTCCTTCTTCTTCTTCTACTATAAGACTTTTGGTTTACCGCCAGGTTTGATTAAAAATTGATTGCTCATTTAATTACCTCTCACAGTCCATCTATCTCCAACCTACTTTCCCCAAACCCAAAACCATGCTAGGGCAAATACCCATTTCGCCACGTGGATGATCTCCTCACCCAACCACATCCTTCCACGTGTCATCTCCCGAGAGAGCCCCTTCCTCAAGTAATAGAAGACGTATAAACAAACACAAATAAAGTAGGAGGTTTTAGGTCACCACTCTACCCTCATTTGAAACCATAAATCCCCCAAAAACAATTAAACAAACACTAATAAAAAATTAATCAAACAACTAAACTTAAAATCCCAAATCAGAATATCCCAAATAATCAAACTTCGCTATATATACAATTTTTCACAAAACCCTAATCCCACACTTATCAGAACTAACCTCTCCCTCTCTTTCCTTTTCCTCCTTCCACGCCGACTTTCCTCGCTGAAGAAATGCCCCACTGACGCCGTTAACCTCTCACGCCGTCAGTCATACGGGGGCCCACTCTCCAGTTTCCAATTTCCTCTCTCTCTCTCACACCTATAAATACGAAACCCACTCAGACTGTTACATGTCACGCGTCGTAGCTGACTATCCCTCTCCCAGTCACGATACGGTGCCGTTTCGCTCTCCCACTGGACTCGGCGACATGGAACTCACCACCGATCACGACGATCCACCGCCGCCGTCGCGCCGCCGCTTCGGCCTCTCCCCCACACTCGGCCAGCTCCTCAAGCAAGTCGGCGACGTCCGGAAGGAATCCACCGGCGACGGCGGCGACACTCCCGACCACCAGGTCCTCGACCTCGGCGGCGATTCCGTCCCCCGCTCCATCCCCTTCGTCCTCTCCTTCTCCAGCCTCACCTACAGCGTCCGCACCCGCCGCCGCAACCGCATCGCCGCCGGAGACAGCTCGAGTGTGTTCACCAGGACGAAGACGCTCCTCGACGACATCTCCGGCGAGACACGCGACGGCGAGATCATGGCGGTGCTCGGCGCCAGCGGCTCCGGCAAATCGACCCTAATCGACGCTCTGGCGAATCGAATCGCGAAGGAATCGCTCAAGGGGGCGGTGAATTTGAACGGCGAGGCGCTCGATTCTCGATTGCTGAAGGTGATCTCCGCCTACGTCCAGCAGGACGATCTACTCTACCCGATGCTCACCGTCGAGGAGACGCTGATGTTCGCGGCGGAATTCCGCCTCCCGCGGACTTTGTCGAATTCCAAGAAGAAAGCCAGAGTCCAGGCCCTAATCGACCAGCTCGGCCTCCGCAACGCGGCGAAGACAGTAATCGGAGACGAAGGCCACCGCGGCGTCTCCGGCGGCGAGCGCCGCCGCGTCTCCATCGGAATCGACATAATCCACGACCCGATCATCCTCTTCCTCGACGAGCCGACCTCCGGTCTCGACTCCACCAGCGCGTTCATGGTCGTCAAAGTCCTCCAGCGAATCGCCCAATCCGGCAGCATCGTCGTGATGTCGGTTCACCAACCGAGTTACCGGATCCTCGGGTTGCTCGACCGCCTGCTCTTCCTCTCCCGCGGCCAAACCGTCTACAGCGGGTCACCCGCCCAACTACCCGGTTTCTTCTCGGAATTCGGCCGCCCGATACCCGAAAACGAGAACCGGACCGAATTCGCTCTGGATCTTATCCGCGAGCTCGAAGGCTCCCCTGGCGGCGGCGGCACCAAATCCCTAGTCGAATTCAACAAACACTGGCAAATGCAAACCACAAGAAACGACGGCTGCTTGATTAACCCGCAGATCTCGCTCAAGGAGGCCATCTCAGCGAGCATCTCGAGGGGAAAGCTCGCGACCAGCGATGCAGCCGGCTCGACATCACTGGTCCCGACCTTCGCGAACCCGATCTGGAAGGAGATGGCGGTCCTCTCCGCCAGATCGGTGACGAACTCCCGCCGGATGCCGGAACTCTTCGGCATCCGGCTGGGAGCCGTGGTGGTGACGGGATTCATCCTCGCCACCATGTTCTGGCACCTCGACAATTCCCCGAAAGGAGTGCAGGAGCGGCTGGGCTTCTTCGCCTTCGCGATGTCGACGACGTTCTACACCTGCGCCGACGCGCTCCCCGTGTTCCTCCAGGAGCGTTACATCTACCTCCGGGAGACCGCGCACAACGCGTACCGAAGATCCTCCTACGTCCTCTCCCACGCGCTGGTTTCGTTCCCGGCTATTGCGTTTCTATCGATCACCTTCGCAGCCACGACGTTTTGGGCCGTGGGCCTGGACGGCGGGTTCTCGGGCTTTTTGTTCTACTTCTTCGTGATCCTCGCGTCGTTTTGGGCCGGGAACTCGTTTGTGACTTTCCTATCCGGCGTCGTTCCGCATGTGATGCTGGGTTACACGATCGTGGTGGCGATTCTGGCCTACTTTTTGTTGTTTAGCGGGTTTTTCATAACCCGGGACCGCATACCCGATTACTGGATCTGGTTTCATTATATGTCGCTGGTGAAGTACCCGTACGAGGCCGTTTTGCAGAATGAGTTTCAGGATCCGAACAAGTGCTTTGTGAGAGGGGTGCAGATTTTCGACAACTCGCCGTTGGCGGCGCTGCCGGCGGCGATGAAGCTCCGGTTGTTGAGGAATATAAGCGGGTCGATGGGGGTGAATATAACGGCGACGACGTGTTTGACGACGGGGAGGGATATATTGGTGCAGCAAGGGGTGACGGATCTGGGGAAGTGGGAGTGCTTGGTGGTGACGGTGGCGTGGGGTTTTTTTTTCAGGGTTTTGTTTTACTTTGCTTTGTTACTGGGGAGTAAGAACAAGAGGAGGTAAAAAATAATTTGAACGAACGTGGAGATGTGAAAAAAAAACTGGAAGTGGTACGTTTGTATGGGGGAGTATGGTGTTTTTTTTTTTTTAATTTGGTTTACTTCTGGGGTTGGAGGATTTTTTTTTAAGGAATTTAACAGTTTGGGGTAAATTATTTGGAGGAATACCTTGATGACGGATGTAAAAACTGTTAAGCATATAAATGATGAATTATATAACATCGAATTACTTGTTGCGAGATGAAAACAATTTTTGTGATCCCAGGAATTTATTTTGTGTATATATGCAAACGATAAGATTTATATATCGATCATCACAACATCTATCAACGGCGATTGAGCTTATTTGTTATGATTTACAACTCGGGATTCGTATTCTAACATCTAATCGTGAGATTGGTGGAATACTGAATACTCATATATATCCCGAATGTATATCGACCATCGGATAGGTACGAAATATGGAAGTTTTTGTAGTAAATTTTAAAATCCTATATATGAAATCAATAGTAGTGAAATATCATTTTTCCAGTTGATGCCAATTCACATCGATATATAGAAAATGGGGAAAATGAAACGGAACCAAACCTAACTTGGTTTATGGGTGAAACGCAACTCGATCGTGTGCCTAAAACCGTAATTGTTTGGCATTAACTTAACAATAATGTAATCGTACTCAGTTAAGAGTTAGGTTGAGTTAGGGTTTGTTTGTTGCATCCATATATTTATTTATTTATTTATTTATATCAACAAATATCTAGTAGCTAGGAATATAATGTGGGGTTCTCTTGAATGGCCTTTGTCAGAGTAGAGTACTGTGTTAGATTAGATCATCCTGCAGCCAATTAAGATGCTAACTTATCTAGATAATTCATATTTCAATTCTTCTCACCTAATTTCTCTTGCATATATATTATTAATTCCTTGCTAGCATTAGCAAGTAAGCCAACCGCTGAAGTAGTGATGACAATTGGGTGAGGCGATTATCTTAATACACATATCCGCTTCGTAAAAAGTGCGGGAGATATAGGATAATATTCGTGCAGATATAGGTCAGAGCAGGTTAATTCATTTTTATATATTTCTTTAAAGAAAATGTTAAATTTTTTGTTGTTGTGATAAGACGAAGAGAAAATAGTTCATAAATGAATAAACAAAAGATGATAAGTTGATTTAGTACTGATTCCAATTAGTTGAAAGATGGAGTCCTACATTTATCTTAATTATCCTTGGGTGAACATCTGAGTTGAAACAAGCCAAAAATAAAAAGAATGAAACTAGATATTAAGACAAATTGAAGTAGAACGAGTCGCACGACGAAATTATTACCGATATTCTCCCCCCCCCCCCCCCCCCTACCCCCACACGTTACTTTGGATCGGATATTACCTTCTCCAATATAAATCTGGTCAGCTAATTATACTCGACACAGGACGAGTTCAAATTACCATCATCACGCGCGAGACTGAAGTAGTGCAGATTGATTTGTGGTCAAGACTCAAGAGATTGCCAAGAAACTATAGCTATAACAAGAAAGTAGTAGTATTATTGCAATCTCAATAATTAAGCTACTTAATTATATATAAGTGGGCAGCCCCACCAAAGACTTTTAACAGCATATGATACGAATTAGTCAACGTCAAGAAATGGGGAAAATATTATTAATATATATATTGTCATGCGTTCATGATCTGGAGTACACTTAAACGCTCACATGCATGCAGAAAGTTGAGAAATAGGTTACCTAAAAGGCCAAAAGACACCAGGTAATCGAGTTTGAGTACTGTACAGCAGATGAACAACGAAAGAATTTGACCATTCCTGTGAATTGACCCTTAATTAATAATTAATTGCTAGGCTAATAGATATTTTTTTTCGTTTATTTATTAGTTTATTGTTTTGCAGCAAAAGGCAGATCGAGATTAATTAATGTAATTATTTAAAATAAATATGGTTTATATAAGTAGATGATGATCAGCTGCAGCTGGAAGGAATAATTAAGTATCCTTGTGTTTCAGGTTGGTGACCTAACTCATACTCTCTACACGCCATTAACACATAATACTGGACTCTCTAACTAGGGCTTTTAATCGAGTTCCAATCTGCAAAATTCCACGAGGATTTAATAAGTGAATCTAACAAGTTATTTTGACAGGAAGAATTTCTTTCTCAAGCAATAATAATTCTTATTCTCTCTCTTTCAGCCAATTTAAAGGAGATATTATCGTAAATTCTTCTTCTTCGTAATCGGACCCCTAATATACGTTTCAAGTCAAGTCAGCCAGCATAATTGGGTTATCATTATACTGTGTAATTAGTCTGTGTAACTGTTCGTCCGTTTCCCTTTGATGGCTTTTTTCCCCCTCCGGTCAATGTGGAATTGATGAGATAGCCGGTAACCTATATTCCAGTCTTTATGAAGAATTTGAGGTCGATCATAGTTTGCCGAGTGATTAAGTTCATATACGGGCTTGTATAAGATTCAGCATAATCTTCTCCCAACAAGACAACTCGAGTTATTGAGATCAACTGGTTTATGACTTGGTATCAGAGCCTTATATGACCGAAAGGTCTTGTGTTCGAATCCTGGTGACCCCCGTTTGTTAAGCACATGGTATCGTGTATTAAGACCTGTGGAAACGAAAGCCCTTATGAAGTGACTGGCTTTTCGTTTGAGGGGGTGTGTTAGTGCATAGTATATAATCCACGATTGAACATCTCCCAACAACTCGAGTTATTGGGACCAACTGGTTTATGACACGTCGGCACAGTAAATAAAGAGATGGAGGAACGTCGCAATAACTAGCTGGTAAGAGTACCCCAATTTTGGGTGCATTTGATATCATCGGTCCGCTTAAGAAATCGTCTTTCTGAGCTGACGATTCATATCAAAATAATATCAATCGTCATGACAGGAAAATGCATGAATTTTCGCAAAATTATTGCAGAATAACTTTGATTCAAAAGGTTTATAAATTTGGGATTAGGGTTTAAGCTAATGCATAGATAGGTTGTGGATCACTTTGCTTCAGAAATAATCATCGTTCTGAACAGGCAATCCATGTCAAAATAATATCAATCGTCACGACAAGAAAATGCATGAATTTTTGCAGAATCATTTTGATTCAAAAGGTTTATAAATTTGGGATCAAGGTTTAAGGTATGCATAGATTAATTGTGATCTTATATTATATCATCATAGCAAACTAATACTACCAGTTAGAAATATATTTTAAGATTGGTTTTACAATTATACGTGTATCTTGTATGCATTGTTTTATTTTATTTTGTGAGTACACCGCGTAGATAGGATGACAATTTGGACCTGCAGCCTCGAGTATTATCCAATCTGACCCGTGAGCGTGAAGGTATAGGCGGAGGCAGAGGCAAGAGGATGTGTCCCGAGACACAGGTAATTTTTGGATAAAATAAAATACCCCATATATATGTGTTAATAAAGGATTGTAGGCATCACATTTAGATAATATAAAAGTGTTTTATTACTACACTAACACTACATGTTATTTTAAGTTTAAAAACTAGCATGAATCAATTTATCATACTATAAAACATTTCATAATACCTAAAAATCGATCTTTCTGTTTGTTGAAATTAGTTTTGACTCTACCCGTTGCAACTTCAAGTGTAGAAAGAACATTTTCAACTTTGAGATATAGGACTTTGCTATGGTGGCATGCATGTCACAGTGACATGCACTTTTCGGTCGACCTCATATAGGATTAGGTCGACCTAATATGTTGTTTCAGTGTAAAGACAGTTTCATGGTGTCTACTTTGGAGATTCATATCTTACAATTGGCTAGATGGAAATTGGAGATTAAAGGCTTGTTTTGAAGTTGAAGTGTCCCTCTACACATTAAAGTACTTGGGAGCCCAATAGAAAGTCCAGAAGACCATTTATGAACTTGACCAAAAGGCTATGCCAAAACTGGGAAACTGCCTGAAAATGGCTAAGTCTGGCAACGTGTTTGTCAAGGCTACTTTGGAGCTCAATTTGAGAAGCATGGATGCGAGTCAAGTCCAGGGGCCTCTACCACGTTAAATTACGTATTTATTTATACAAAGGCAAGGCATTGGATGAAAGATTGAATATCTTTAAGGCTTCAAACAAAAGGCTCGAAGTTGCTACAGAGACTGTTTTTCTGGCAGCTTGCTTGTGCTCGAAGTCTGCCAGAAAAACAGCCTTCGTAGCAACTTCGACCCTTTTATTTGAAGCCTTACAAATATCCAATCTTTCATCCAATGCCTTGAATTTGTATAAATACATACCTAATTTAACGTGGTAAAGGCTCATGGACTCGACTCGCATTCATGCTTCTCGAATTGAGCTCCAAAATAGGATTCACAAACACGTTTTCAGACTTAGTCATTTTCGGGCAGTTTCCCAGTTTTGGCATAGCCTTTTGATGAGGTTAAAAAATGGTCTTGTGGACTTCCTATCAAGCTCTCAATCACTTCAATATGTAGAGGGACACTCCAGCTTCAAAACAAGTCATTAGTCTTCAATTTCCATCTAGCCAATTGTATGATATGAATATCCAAAGTATGCACCATGAACTGTTTTTACACTGAAACAACAGATTAGGTCGACCTGATCCTATATGAGGTCGACCGAATCCTAAATGAGGTTGACCAGATCCTATATGAGGTCGACCGAATTCTAAATGAGGTCGACCGGAAAGTGCAAGTCACCGTGACATGCATGTCACCGTAGGCACACCCTGAGATATATCAAAACCAAGTTTCAAAATCGAATTGCGATCAATTTGCTAATTATTGCTTATTTGGATACATTGAGAATATGAAAATGCGTCGTGATTATTTATGAAAATAATAATTGTATTATTCTAATATTTATTTATTATTTGTGAATGAATTATTTGGATATTATCAGTTTAATTATATTTATTAAATAATTATTTATTTATTTATATTATAGAAAGAGGACACGGGTACTTTCGATTGCTGGCTGCGCCACTGAGTGATGGGGCGAGTATTACCCCACCCGTATTAGCGAGGGACGAGCATGAATATCTACTTCCGCCCCGCCCTTCCCCGCCCCGTTCTTCATCCATAGTATATCTCAATTTTTTATGTATCCATTCATATTTCTCATATTCTGACTTATCTTCAACTAGTTAGAATTGATCTTTGAACTAGCTAGTTATACACTCGATTATATTACCAATTCCATTATCAATCTTTTCCATTCATAAAATGTTATTGTTTGAGCCTAACTGGGTGTAGAAGGGAGGCTCGGGAAAATGGGTCAAGAGGAGTAAGCAATGAAGGAACGATTGTTATGGAGAGATTCCGGGGATTACGAAGAGAGTTGAGAATGGAAGTAGTTTTAGAGAGAGAAGTTGATGATCTTAGAGATATAGTCTGAAAAATCTCATCCCCTCACCCACCGGAGTAAATGCCATATTTATAGGCTACATGTTGGTGGGTGAGTGGTTGGGTTATAAGTGGGCGCAATGATGTGACCACTGACATGTCAGGGATTTAGGCCATACTTTTAGGACCCTGATGTGACTACTGACATAGCAGGACTATGCCTAGGACTGTGATGGTGACTACCCGTTGGATGACGCGGCCCCGCTTCTACAATTCCTCGACAAGGGCCCATGCCTGTCCCACGCGTCGTCGTTTAGTGTTTGCGCGCCCCTCTTCTACCATTCCTCGACAAGCGCGTGACTCGTGCGCTTGACTCGCGCGCTTAACTCCGGTGTGGCTCGCGCGCTTTACCTTGGCGCCACTCCTTAGCGCTTCTGCCGTGGGGTGCGATCCGAGTCACATACCCAACAATTGCCCCCCCATCAGGGGGTATTCCGCGAATGCCCCCTGTTTGATCTTCGTGTGGTTGACTCGGATCTGCGCAATTCCGTCTTTTCCGCGCCATTGACCGAGGTGGGCGCGATCTGGGCGAGTCGGGGCCTGTCCGGTCTGCGTGATCTTCGTGCCCCCAGTGACGCGCGTTACTTTTAAGTTGGGGATGGATTGTTTTTTCTTCCTCGCGGGTGTGTCATGCACCCCAGGCGATGCGCGGCACTTGTGGCGTCATCGACTAGTACTTACTGCCTATGCTTTTGCTAGGTGTCCACGTGTCCTTGTGTGGTTGGCTTGTTTTGGCGGCCGTTTTGAATTTCGAAAATCTCTGACGGTTGCGTATCCCGAAGTAACTTTAATTGTTCAGCTTCCCTCCCTCAGTTATAAATAGCTGACCATAAGGGGACCTGGGTTTTATTCTGCCATTTTGCCTTTTTCGATTTTCTTCTCTGTTCTCTCTACGTCGGGTGTGTTCGAGAGTCCTCTCCTTCTTCTACAACCTTTCTTCTCAATCTGTTGTTGCCAAACTCCGGAGTTTGCTATGGCTAACATCAACGAGATCGGGGTCGTACAAGACGAAGAAGGTAAACTCTCCTCCCCCTCACATGTTTCTACTGATCCTTCGTTGGATCTTGATGATTCTGGGCATGGGGACGACGGCGGTGATGGTGGTGGTGGGGTTCCGGCGACGCCGTCATACGACGTCGATTCGGAACCGGGCAGCCGTGGCTCATTAGATGCGGAGGCTACGGTGTCCGGTAACGTGGCGTCCGGCGCCGGAGCTCGTGGGGTGTTGATTATTAGGCGCGACCGTGCGGGTGCGTCTGGGAGCGCGAATCGTGATGCGCGCGAAGAGTCTGGCGCGGCGCCAGAGCAGCATTGCGTCGCGCGCGTGTCCGAGGCAATAAGCCGTCTAGGGTTTCTTGGTGTGGGCGCGGCGTACACTATACTCGATTGGGCGGAGATGTGGGGCGATCAGCCCGCACCTCAAGATGGTCTACTCAGAGGGCCCGATCACGCGTCGATCTACGGGAGGCGAGAAGTGACGGAGATCGTGTGCGGATTGGGGCTGCCCCCCCATTGGGAGTATGCGATTCCCTCAACGCGGAGCACCGTTGGTAACTGCCCCACCTGGTGGATCGGGGTGTACACCGAGTACCGGGTGATGGGGTTCAAATTCCCCATCGACCCGCTGTTGTGCGCAATCTACAGGCGGCTCAATTTCTCTGTGGGTCGTCTTTCCCCATCCGTTATTATGCACGCGAGTTGCCTCCGCCTCGCGTGCAAGAGGCTCAACATCGCGCCGACCTATGGTTTGTTTCGTGCGATGTACAAAATCAAGGAGCCAACAAAGAGGAGTGACTGCCTCTCCATCAGGCGGCGCGACAATAGGCCCGACGGTTTTGTGTACGGGTCTCCGAAGCTGAAGAAGACTTGGTTCGAGCGCTTCTTCTATGTTAAGCCCACGCCGGGGGAGTGGGCGAGTGAGTTCATGGAGGAACCCATTGTGTGGAAGAAAGGTAGTATCAAAGGCTACGAGCACGACCTGGGCAAATATGACAGGCTCGACGCTGAGTATGAAGCGGTTCTGGACCACAATTTCAACTTGTACCTGGGCGGGGTCCGCGAAGCTTGTTTGGCGGAGCTTTTTGCTGATGGTTAGTTACGTCTCTTTCCTTATGCATTCGATTATATTAACCGTTCTCTTACAATTTATTGGCGCAGGTGTTGACTTTTCAAGCTTGGTCAGCATGATGTCTGTTGACGATGTGGTGGCGAGAGCTCCGCGGGCCTCGAGGGGCGAGAGGAATAAGAAGAAGGAAGTTGCGCCTTCTGAGCGCGTGAAGAGGAAGGAAGCTGGGCAGCCTTCGGCGGCAGAGAATCCCCGCAAGGTGGCGCGGGTGGATGCCCCATCGGGGCGGGTGGCCGAGCAGGCGGCTCGAACTGAGCGGGCTGCTGAGCGGGTGACTGAGCGGACAGGTCAACAGTTGCCGCTCGTGACTGTGGATGGGGATGCGTCCAGCGCACGCGTTGATGCATCTCAGCGTCCGGAGAAGTCGGCGGCCGGGAGTTCTTCTAGTGCGACGCTTCAACAGCGGCTGCCCGAGATGGCTTCTGCCATCAACTACTTCCGCGATGTGCGGATTCATACTGGCGCTGCCTGCAACAGCGTGGCAGCAAACACTGCGCTTCGCGCGCTGGGGCCCCACTTCAGCATCCCTGCGTGGATGGAGAAGTCCGATCCGCTGCAAGACCTGGCGCAGATATTTTGTGGTAAGGTTATTTTTGATCGCTCGTCTTCGTGTGATCAGTTTTACTATGTATTCTTTTGCTAAAGTCTTGGGGCGTTCGCACACGTAGGGTTTGCTGGCGGCCTTCCGAGCCCAAAAGGAGCGCACGGTGCAGTGCGCGAAGATGAAGGACGACGAGGCAAAGATCGTCCAACTGGAGGGAAAGGTTGTTGGGGCGAATAGCCGTGCCGATGTGGCGACCAATAAGGCCAACGAGGGCATGGAGGAACTCGGCGTCCTTCAGAGTAAGTTGGCCGACGACGTGGAGGCGGCCAAAGAGCAAGTGCGGGTTGAGGAGCGTGCCTCCATACGCGCGCAGCTGGAGGCTTCCTACGCCGAGAAGCTGAAGAAGGATCGCGAGGAGCTGCAGAAGGAGAAGGATGACCTGGTTCGCCTTCATCAAGTCGCGAAAGCGGAAGCCGTCCGCGCGGCCGAAGTCGCGGCCGTTCATCAGTTCAAGTCCTTCCCCTCCTTCGGGAAGATCTTGGCGAACGCCATGACTAAGGCCGTGATCGCGGTCGGGAAGAAGGTTCGGCCAGAGAACCCGGGGATCCGTTGGGACACTCGCGAGATGGTTCACCATGTCAAGGTGTGGATTGGTGAGAAGCGGCCCTTGGAATCTGACTCTGAGTCTGGGGAGGAGGATGAGGATGAGGAGGAGGAGCGTCCGGAAGGGGAGAAAGCTGAGGGCGCCAGTGGAGGGGGCGCGAGTGGAGGAGGCGCGGAAGCTGACGAGGAGGAGGAAGAGAATGTTGAACCCTTGTTGCGCCGCAAGCAGAGCAGAGAGGATGTTCAGTCTGATACTGCCGGTGCTTGAGTGTTGTCGCGCTGGGTCATTTTTAGTCTGATGCTTTTGTTCTTGTTTTCCTTTTTTCTTTTTATCAAGTGTAGTTGCGACATTTTTCTGCTCCCGCTTAATTGAATCCAAAGAGTACTTATTTATGGCGTTTGTTTGTTCCTTTGAATCGAGTGAGCGCGAATAGTGCTGGACTATTGCTAATTTTTTGTTCTTGCGAACTGAATGGGCGCGAATAGTGCTGGACTATTGCTAATTTTTTTGTTCTTGCGAACTGGATGGGCGCGAATAGTGCTGGACTATTGCTAATTTTTTGTTCTTGTGAACTGGATGGGCGCGAATAGTGGTGGACTATTGCTTTGCGAAGTGACTTCTTCCCATTTCTTTGCGGCAAAGCGCAGTAGCATGAAAAATACATATTTAAGTTGCTCGATGATATTTCCTTAGGTTTTGAGCGTTCCACGTCCTCTGTATCTTGTTGCCCCCTAACTCGCTAAGTTTGAAGGTGTTGGCGCCGACCACTTCGCGGATTAGGTATGGACCTTCCCACACTGAGGCGAGCTTTCCGTGCTTGGGGTCGGGGCGGAAGTTGCGTCGCAGCTCTTGGTCTCCGAGGATCAACCTATGTGGAACGAGCTTCGCGTTGTGGTACTTTGCTACCTGCTCTTTCATTGCGGCCAGCTTGATTGCTGCCAACTCGCGCCTTTCCTGAGACAACTCCAGCTCCAGCAGACGCGCTTCATCGTTGGTTTCTTCGCTGTACTTGGTGATTCGATAGGTCGAGGCCGTTGTCTCTATGGGAATTACTGCGTCTGTGCCATATGTAAGGGCGAAAGGAGTTTCGCCCATTGCCACTTTGTATGTGGTGCGGTGCGCCCATAGCACAGTATTGAGTTCGTCGGTCCAGTTACCTTTGGCGTCGTTCAAGCGGGTGTGCAGACCGTGCAGAATTGCTTTGTTGGCGGATTCCGCTTGGCCGTTGGCCTGTGGATAAGCTACCGATGCGAACCTTGCAATGGTTCCCAACTGGTCGCAGAAGTTTATCACTTCTGCGCAGTCAAATTGCTTCCCGTGATCAAAGATGAGCGCGTTCGGGACCCCGAAGCGCGACAAGATGTTGTTCTTTAGGAAACGCGTCACATGTTGTGCCGTTATCGAGGCTAGTGCTTCAGCTTCGATCCATTTGCTGAAGTAGTCTACGGCCACGATAATGTATTTGCGCTTCCCTTTTGCTGTTGGGAAGGGCCCCAAGAGATCCACTCCCCATTGCGCAAAAGGCCATGGACACTTGACACTTGTGACACTGGTCCGCGTATTTCTTCGTGTCCTTTTTTATTCGCGCCAGTAGTATCCGTGCAGCAAAATGGTGTGCTCCATGCTGCGCGGGCCGGCGTGCATTGCGCACAACCCCTCATGTATGTCGCGCACCATGTCGCGCGCCTTCTCTTGTCCAATGCACTTTAGGTAGACACCTGAGAACGACCGTTGGTATAGTTCTCCTTCAATGAGTGTGCATCGGGCCGCTTTTTGCCTTAACGTCCATGCCTCTTTAGCGTCTTTGATGACTCGATATTTGCACATGTTTTCCCCTTTGTTTCTTGATCGTTTAAGCTTGCATTATCGCTTCTTTGGCCTATTTTACGCTAGGTTGTGTTCCTTTGTCACATTTCAGGCCCTAGCAAATAAAGTGAATCATAGGCGCAAGTTTCAAGTCAATCAGAGATCAATTGGCGATTAGGGAGAAGAAACACGAGCATGACCTGAAGAAGAATGGATTTCTACCTCACTTTATGGACAAAGAATCATGGAAGTTTGTTATGAAAAGAAAGAGGACGAGACTACGAGCGTCTGGGTTCAAACGGCGACTGATTCGGAGTCCGGACGAGGGAGAAACGAAGCTTTGAACAGGGGTGGAGGAAGAATTACGGGCAGGAGAATTACGACCGTAATTTACCCTCCCATGCCCGTAATTTCACTGCCGAGAGGAGCTTTGGGTGCGCTGAAACTTAACCAAAACGCGTGTTTTGGGCAAAATACGGGCATGGAAGAATTACGACCGTAATTCAGCCCGTAATTCGCCCAGAATCGGGTTTTTGAGGCAGATTAGAGCCAAAGGAAAGAGAGAGCTGGGTTTTGGATCCCAAACACCCAAGGGACGAACCCTAGAGAGAGAGAGCGACTTGGGAACATTCTTGGAGCTACTTTGGAGGATTTCTTCGCCATTGGAGCTCGGGAATCAAGCTTGGAGATGGAGATTGAAGATCTAGATCAGATTTCTGCAGTCTCTCTCTTCTCTATGGAGTAACTTCCCTTCACTTAGGTTTTGAGGAACCCTAGTTCCATGAGTTAGGATCTTTCTTGTATGAAGTTTTGGATGCTATATTGTTTGATTATAATCGAATGATGCATGTTTATTGAGTCAATTGAAGTCTGATCAACTTTTCCTGATTCCTGCTGCAATCTGAGATAGATAGAATCTGATTAGGTTGCTAGAGTCTCATCATTCGGTAGTAGGAGATTGGCTATACGAGAGTTAGCCAGTTTACTGCTTTGTACTGGAATTCAATTCCAGTAGTGGAGTTCTGTGCTTATTGCTTCAGCTTTCTATCCCGGCGAAGACTAGTCGTCTGCCGGATAGTTAGATTGAGAGGGCTTGGTCAGCTTAAGAGATTCCAAGCTACTGTCGGATCTTCCGCAGTTTAATCAACAGTAAATCAACCAAAAGGAATTACAACTTGGACCTAATTGAGGAGCTAGGGGGAATCATACCTAAGTGAGTTCCCAAACTGTAATTAGTAGTTTTACTTAGTTTAGTTAGTAGAGTAGTTTAGTTAATCAATCCTTAATCTAGTCTGCTAGATAATGAACTGAAGCTGAGTAATAGTAACTCTAGAGACCCGTGGATTCGATATTTATTACTTGTGCCACTATACTGCAGTCCCTTTCATTGGTTACACTTGGCCATTGTTAGGTGTTGTGTTTTAGAGCATCAAGTTTTTGGCGCCGTTGCCGGGCACTTTCTAGATTATTAGGAAAGGCAGAAGTTTGTTACTTTAGTGTTTTTCTTTTCTTTTCCACCCTTGCTTTTCACTTGGGTGTTTTTGTTGGTGCAGATCTGAATCATGGATCCGCATGACTTCTCCAACCAGTGGGGGTATCCACCACCATCCGAGTGGTATTACCCCGAGACTCCTTGGAGCAATCAAGGAGGAGAAGACTATGGATTCGGGTTCCAGTACCAACCCCCTTTCTACGGAGAACAACCAGACCCCTGGGCATATCAAGAACAACCTCATTACCAAGAAGACTTTCTCCCACAACCAGAAGGGCCGTCGGAGCTGGAGTTACCCATGGCGGCCTTCACGGGCCACTCTGCAGAGCCATGCTACACTTCACTGGAAGATCCGAACAAACAATTAAGACTTCTCGTGGAGCAGTTTGCTCGAGACACTGAGAGATCATGCTCCAAGATGGATCTTCAAATCAAAGCCCTTGCTGCTTCCGTTCCCTCATTTCTCCATGATATGGAGGAGACTGTTCAGCGCTCAGCGAAGCAAACAGAGTGGGTGGAGCAAGTTTGCTCACATCTTGCTCAAGATCACCTTTCTGCTACCACGCTAGAAGAGGTGGAGGATGACAAAGGCTATGGGAGCGTTGAGGAGCATACAGAAGTTATCACAGAGAACTCTTATGATAATCATGATCAGGAAAGTCCTTTGGTTGCAGACCACACCTTTCCTCATTTATGCTCTAACATGCTGGGCCCGTGCGAGGAGATGCAAGATGATCCCATTGAAGAAATTGCTTGGCGACTTGCTCTCCAATCTGTTCTAGAAGAAGAAGAGCGAGCAAGGATGAGGAAGGAAGTTGTGGATGATGAGGAAGAAAGAAAAGAAGAGGTTGTTCTTGATCTTTTCCCAGGGGAGAGACCACATTTTGAAGAAGAAAGGGGGGTTGAGGAAGCAATTGGCGTCCAGGCTGAGGATGAAGTTGAGGTGGAAGAGGCTTGCACCGGCCCTATGTTACATTTGATATCTCCACCAAACTTCGAGGAGCTGCTTGGCAAGGACCCATTTGCAGTGTCTTTTTGCCAGACCAAGGCCACATCAACATTGGTCCCTCTTGGTGGACGCGATGGTGGCCAATCGATGCTGTCATATCTGGTTTGGGGCAATGAGACGAGAGAAGAGAAGAAGAGGTCTCGAGGGTGGAGACTTCATTTGCATCAAGTACATGAGCCTTCATCACCTGCCACACCATATGCTCGTGACTTGAGACTCCACCTCATCGACGAGAACCTCAACTTCAAGGAGGTTTTGGGGTGGACCGAAACTTAGGAGCCATCGTCCGGCTCATGACGTGAAAGAAGCGCTTGTTGGGAGGCAACCCAACCAGACGGTTTGCATTTCTTTCTCTATTTCTCCTCGGTTGAGTCAGTTTTGTTATTTGATTTTAGAGTCAATAACTCAACCTTTGTGAGATTTTATGTGGTGTTTGTGTTCTGATTACTCTCTCTTCCTGGAATGCACTGCCTGACCCGTACATCATCATTCACCCTTGATCTGGTAATTTCGTTCTACCCTCCTTATCTTTCCTCCATTGAGGACAATGTCGTGCTTAAGTGTGGGGGGGTGTTCGATTATGTATGCGGGTGAATGTTTGGCTGTTTGTGTGCTTGGAGCTTAGTTCACTGTCCAAATTTTTAAATTTGAGGGCTCCAAGTATGTGTTTCCTTGCAAATTGCCTGCTCAGTATGCTTTGAATTGACAGTCTCTATAGTAATGTGCAACCTAGGGAGGTAGTGTAGCACTATGGAGGATGTTGAAGTATAAGATTTTTCCTATCTAGCTCTCTGTTGTGCCAGTTGATTTGTGAATTAGTGGAGCTAAGACCGTTGAATTCATGTGGTAATGGTGACTCTGTTTGGATTATGTTATGGACTCGTGTATCGAACAGGGTGCTCATATGGAAAATGGGAAGCAGTTGGTCCTCCATGTCAAAATCATTAAATCTTAAACATGGGGTAAGCCCAACGTGTGCGGCACCGTTCATTGCAAAAAATCGGGTTTTGGAAGAGATTTTAGTGATCCTTAGTGGGATACTCCTACAAGGTGAAGCTAAGTTGTCTCTAGTACAAGTAAAACTTCCACCCGTTGAATGGTTTGCCTACTTGAGGATGTGTTTTTAAGGGCACGGATAGAGCTTCCGACCCCCCTTAATTTCATTGACCCTCCACACGAGTTGAGGAAAAGGAGTTAAAAGAAGTACTCTGGCGAGCTCCAGATGTACAGAAATTGCTCTTGCTCGACTAATAAGGGTCGACCATGCAAAAGACTGCAGTTGGAACCCCACCAAATGAAAGAAAAAATGTAAATGAAAGTGAGAAAAAGGGGTTCCAACGGTGAAATGAAGTGAAAGAGCACCCCGGTACAACGAGTCCTTGGTAGTGAATGGTGTGAGTCCCTTTATCCATGAACTGACTGTCTTACTTCTACTTCTTCTCATGATCCTGGCTTGAGTCTAGTACTCGCATTGAGAGAGATAGGGAACGTCTTAGAAGACCAGTTGACCTCGTAAGCTGCTATATGATCTAGGAAATCCTCTACCGACGATCGAGGTTGTATGTTGATATAGAGGTCTGGAGAGCTGCATTGGTTTGAGTTAGGTTTGCTTGGGGACAAGCAAACGGTTAAGTGTGGGGGAATTTGATGACTCGATATTTGCACATGTTTTCCCCTTTGTTTCTTGATCGTTTAAGCTTGCATTATCGCTTCTTTGGCCTATTTTACGCTAGGTTGTGTTCCTTTGTCACATTTCAGGCCCTAGCAAATAAAGTGAATCATAGGCGCAAGTTTCAAGTCAATCAGAGATCAATTGGCGATTAGGGAGAAGAAACACGAGCATGACCTGAAGAAGAATGGATTTCTACCTCACTTTATGGACAAAGAATCATGGAAGTTTGTTATGAAAAGAAAGAGGACGAGACTACGAGCGTCTGGGTTCAAACGGCGACTGATTCGGAGTCCGGACGAGGGAGAAACGAAGCTTTGAACAGGGGTGGAGGAAGAATTACGGGCAGGAGAATTACGACCGTAATTTACCCTCCCATGCCCGTAATTTCACTGCCGAGAGGAGCTTTGGGTGCGCTGAAACTTAACCAAAACGCGTGTTTTGGGCAAAATACGGGCATGGAAGAATTACGACCGTAATTCGCCCAGAATCGGGTTTTTGAGGCAGATTAGAGCCAAAGGAAAGAGAGAGCTGGGTTTTGGATCCCAAACACCCAAAGGAAAGAGAGAGCTCGGGAATCAAGCTTGGAGATGGAGATTGAAGATCTAGATCAGATTTCTGCAGTCTCTCTCTTCTCTATGGAGTAACTTCCCTTCACTTAGGTTTTGAGGAACCCTAGTTCCATGAGTTAGGATCTTTCTTGTATGAAGTTTTGGATGCTATATTGTTTGATTATAATCGAATGATGCATGTTTATTGAGTCAATTGAAGTCTGATCAACTTTTCCTGATTCCTGCTGCAATCTGAGATAGATAGAATCTGATTAGGTTGCTAGAGTCTCATCATTCGGTAGTAGGAGATTGGCTATACGAGAGTTAGCCAGTTTACTGCTTTGTACTGGAATCCAATTCCAGTAGTGGAGTTCTGTGCTTATTGCTTCAGCTTTCTATCCCGGTGAAGACTAGTCGTCTGCTGGATAGTTAGACTGAGAGGGCTTGGTCAGCTTAAGAGATTCCAAGCTACTGTCGGATCTTCCGCAGTTTAATCAACAGTAAATCAACCAAAAGGAATTACAACTTGGACCTAATTGAGGAGCTAGGGGGAATCATACCTAAGTGAGTTCCCAAACTGTAATTAGTAGTTTTACTTAGTTTAGTTAGTAGAGTAGTTTAGTTAATCAATCCTTAATCTAGTCTGCTAGATAATGAACCGAAGCTGAGTAATAGTAACTCTAGAGACCCGTGGATTCGATATTTATTACTTGTGCCACTATACTGCAGTCCCTTTCATTGGTTACACTTGGCCATTGTTAGGTGTTGTGTTTTAGAGCATCAGTCTTCCGGTATCGTACCCTCTTGTAGGTACCGCACAATTGGGGCTCTCCAAGCCTCATCGCTCATGAGTTGGGTGGTATTAATCGCCACTTCTTGGCGAATTTCCTCCTCTTCCTTTTGTACCGACACGAGACGAGTCGTCTCGAAGTCTGTGGCGGTTGCTAGCTTGGATAGTGCGTCAGCGTGCACGTTTTCCTCTCTCGGTATTTGCATGTAGGTTACCGCCTCGAAGTTGGCTGCTCGCAGCTTGACACGCTCCATGTAATGCGCCAGGGTGTCTTCCTTTGCGTCAAAGGCTCCGTTCAGTTGGTTGACTGCCAGTGAGGAGTCGGAGAGTACCCTTATTGTTCTCGCGCCCAGATCGTCGGCGGCGGTCATTCCCGCCAAAATAGCCTCGTACTCGGCCGCGTTATTTGTCTTCAACGCTCTGAATCTGATAGCTATCTCGTGAACGACGCCTGTTGGCGTGCGCACGACGACCCCCACGCCAGCACCGTGTTTACTTGCCGCTCCGTCGACGTAAACTTCCCATACCCCCTCCGGTGTAGTTTCGAGCGTGACTCCATCAGCGATGAAATCTGCTAGGATTTGGGCTTTGATTGCTGGTCTCGGCGCATATTGGATGTCGTACTCTGAGAGTTCGACCGCCCATTTCACCATGCGCCCTGATACTTCCATTGAAGTCAGGATTTTCTTTAGTGGGAGGTTGGTCAGGACGGTGATCTGGTGCGCTTGGAAATAAGGACGCAACTTCTGTGACGCGCTCACCAATGCCAGGGCCGCTTTCTCTATTGGGGAGTATCTCGTTTCGGCGCTGATTAGCGTGCGTGAAGTGTAATACACAGGCTGCTCGGTATTATCGTTTCTTCTGGATATCAAAACTGCGCTTACAGCTCTCGTCGACACGGCCAGATAAAGGAATAATTTTTCATTAAGCTTGGGAGCTGTCAACACAGGGGGGGATACAAGATATGCCTTCAGGTCTTGGAAGGCTGCTTCACACTCTTTGGTCCATTAAAATTTCGCGCCGTTTTTGAGTGTCTTGATAAAGGGCGCGCACTTGTCGGCCGACCTTGGGATGAATCTCCCTAGCGCTGCTATTTTCCCATTCAGGGATTGAATTTCGAATGCGCTCCTCGGGGCCCGTAGTTGTTGGACCGCCGTGATTTGCTTGGGGTCCACTTCGATGCCGCGCTTGGTTATCATGAACCCCAAAAACTTCTCTGCTTCCACCCCAAAGACGCACTTCAATGGGTTCAAGCGGAGGCTGTGCTTGCCAAGCGCCTCAAATGTCTCTCGCAGAACACCGAATCGATCATCCTTTGGTATGTCGCGCCCGCGTTCTTCAGTCCGAACGGCATTCCGACGAAACAGAAGTTTCCAAAGGGAGTCATGAACACCGTCTTTTCTTCATCTTCGCGCGACATCGGGATTTGATGGTACCCTGAGAACATCTCCAAGAAAGACAGTGTCTCGTGGTCGGCAGTGGCGTCGATCAATTGGTCGATGCGCGGAAGGGGGTAGGGGTCTCCCGGGCATACCTTGTTGATTGTGGTGTAGTCAACGCACATCCGCCAAGCGCCCGAAGATTTTTTTTACCAGGACCACATTCGCCAACCACTTTAGGTATTTGACCGGGCGAATCAACCCTGCCGCCAAGAGTCGCGCCACCTCCTCTTCGATGGCCTTCAGTTTGTCGCCAGTAAAGCCGCGTCGCGCTTGTTGCCTTGGAATCGCGCTCGGCGGGACCGCGAGGCAATGTTGGGCTACATGCCTTGGTACCCCTGGCATGTCTTCTGTGCACCAGGCAAATAGCTCCTTGTACTCTTTTAATAGCGCTATCAGTGGCTCAATCGCGTCGTCGCGAACGTGAGTCGAGATGCGTATTTTCCTGGTCGGCTCGGTTGGGTCGAGCGCGACCTCGAAATCGAAATCCATTGATTCCGGACGGGGCTCCTCTGGCCTTGTGTCGACAATGTTCGTTTGCCGGGGCTCTCCCTCTAGCTTCAGGGCTCCCCATGGTGTCCCACGCGCCTCTCCGGTTCCCATTTTGGTAGGGAACTTGAGCTTTTGGTGGCACGTGGAAGGGAGGGCCATGAATTTTGATAGGAAGGGTCGGCCCAAGATGCCGTTGTGGGATGATTGGCAGTCCACTATTGTAAACTCAACTTGCTTTGAGACGCGCGGCTCTTGGTCACCGATGACCATAGGGAGAGTGACCACCCCAATTACTGGCACCCTCGCTCCAGAGAAACCGACCAGGTTCCCTTGGGCGCGCTTGATTAAGCGCGGGTCGATGTCCATCTTGACGATGGTGCTTTGGAAGAGGATGTCTGCCGCGGCACCTCCGTCTATCAGGAGGCGGTGAATCTTGCAGGCGGCCACTAGGGCGGTGATGATGAGTGGGTCTTCCGACGGAACTCCTTGCGGTAATTCGGTGTCGTCGAAGCTTAGTTGACCTCCTGTTCGCACATCCGCTGCCGCGAATTCGATCGCTCGTTCGCGCTTGGTTTTCTTTTTCGGGCGATCTCCTTCCACCGTCACCACCCCTATTTCTTTTCGCACTACATATGCTGCAGTGGCTTCGTTGTAGTCGGTTTGCGGGGGTGGTGGCGGGTTTTGAGGCTCCCCAACTTGCTCCTCTTTCCCGTGTGTGAACTCGGTCAGCAATCCTCGTCGTATGAGGCCCTCTATCTCGTAGCGCAGCTCTCGGCAATCCTCCGTCCAGTGCCCCGTTGCTCTGTGGAAGTCGCAATGCTTTTTTGGGTCCCTCATGTGGGGCAAGGACTTCAGGGGCGCGGGCCAATTGAGCTTGTATCCCTTCTCGCGTAGAACGTGGAACACGTTCTTCACGGAGTCGTTGAGTGGTGTAAACTCGTGGGGCGCGCGCCTGTCTGGTGATCTCCCCCGCTGAGCTTGCTCTTGTGGGGGAGGGGGATGGCGCTTTTGTCCGCTGTGCAGCTGCGCAAGCTGATCTCGCGGCAGCGTGAGCTGCCGGCGTCCCTGCTCTTCTCGTGGCAATTTGGCTGGCTCGAAGCGCCTAACAGATCCCGCTTCGAGGGTTTCTTCCAGCGTAATTGTCTTCTCAATCTTCATCTCCAACTCCGTTGATAGAGTTACGGGCCTTTTTGCTAGCGCCCGCTTGAGTTCCATGTTGGTTGTGGCTTCCATAAGGTGATGGGCGGCGGTTTCGGGGGTAAGGTCGCGCACCGCCATCGCCACTTTGGACCATCTGCGTAAAATGATCGCAGGCTCTTCCCGTCCTTTTGCCTGAGGTCTACCAGCGCCTTGAGGTGGAGGGGCCTTCTTTTCTGGGATGCGAAATTTGTTGTGAATAGGAGTATGAACTCCTCGAACGAGCGGATGATCCCGTTTGGGAGCCTGTTATACCAATCTAGCCATATCCCAGAAAACGTTGATGGGAAGGTTCGGCATAGCGCCGCGTTGGAGTTGGTTTGGAGCTGCATCCGCAGGCAGAAGGTGCTCACGTGATCTTCGGGATCAGTCGTCCCATTGTATGTTGGGAGGGCGGGTGGCATTCCGCTCAGGTGTTCCGCCATGATTTCTGCGCTTAGCGGCTGGTGAAGCGCCTTTTTGGGCGCGTTGAGTCGGTATTGTGGAGACAGGTGTTGCTCTAGAAAGCTGAGGTCCGCCCTTCCTGGAAGCTCAGCTTGTTGTGTATCACTCGCGTGGTGTGGGGGTGGGACCATCCCCGACGTTTCTCCGAGGGCTTGTTGGGCCACGACTGGTATCGCGCATACTGTTAGATCGACTTGTTGCGCTTCGTGCGCGGGGTGTGATGGTAGGGCAGTCCCCGGCGCGGATGGTGTCGCGCCCGCGGTTGTCGCAGCCTCTTTACTCATCATGAGCGCTATGACCTGGCTCATTTGTTTCTGCATGTTGGCTATGACATCGTACTGCTTTGCCATCAGCTGTCTCATTTCTTTGGCTGTGATCTCGGGCTCTTCCTCTTCCAAGAGCACCGCGTTGAGATTGCTGGCTTCCGCGAATTCCCTTGGGTTGGTCATCGCCTTGATTGGGGTTGATTCGTCAGGTGAGTTGGAGCTGTTCTATGCCATTAGTTGATTTTCTTTGCTTCTCTACTTGGCCCCACGGTGGGCGCCAATTGTTTGAGCCTAACTGGGTGTAGAAGGGAGGCTCGGGAAAATGGGTCAAGAGGAGTAAGCAATGAAGGAACGATTGTTATGGAGAGATTCCGGGGATTACGAAGAGAGTTGAGAATGGAAGTAGTTTTAGAGAGAGAAGTTGATGATCTTAGAGATAGAGTCTGAAAAATCCCATCCCCTCACCAACCGGAGTAAATGCCATATTTATAGGCTACATGTTGGTGGGTGAGTGGTTGGGTTACAAGTGGGCGCAATGATGTGACCACTGACATGTCAGGGATTTAGGCCATACTTTTAGGACCCTGATGTGACTACTGACATAGCAGGACTATGCCTAGGACTGTGATGGTGACTACCCGTTGGATGACGCGGCGCCGCTTCTACAATTCCTCGACAAGGGCCCACGCCTGTCCCACGCGTCGTCGTTTAGTGTTTGCGCGCGCCTCTTCTACCATTCCTCGACAAGCGCGTGACTCGTGCGCTTGACTCGCGCGCTTAACTCCGGTGTGGCTCGCGCGCTTTACCTTGGCGCGACTCCTTAGCGCTTCTGCCGTGGGGTGCGATCCGAGTCACATACCCAACAGTTATTTCCTTCGTTTTACCTTTAAAAGTATAATTTTGCGTGTACATTTTTTTTCCAAATAATACGTAAGAGTGAGTCGACCAGCCTCATACCCACGTGCGAGTATTATCCGCACCTGCCTGCAGTATAGTGTGGGGTTAGACATGAATATCGTGGTACTCGCCCCATCCCGCCCGATCAGCATAGAGAGACATATCAGTTTCGTCGATCCGGCCGGCACATGATTAAGCTCTAACAGCCGTTGAAATCAATCAACCACTGCATGCACCAAATACCTCATGATGGATGATGCTGATGATCAGTGCCGTTCAAGTACGTATCATGCAAAATTTGAGGTGCATATAAGATATATATGTACAGGACCATGTTCTACACCGTTACAATTTCTATTGCCAATTACCGTACATACATCATCTGGATATACTAACTACGTGTGTGATGCATTAAGAACCAAACAGCATATATCGTGGAAACCAAGCCATGCATTAGATGAACGACTCAGTCACAAGTCACGACCTCCTCGAGTATATCGTACTCCAAATGTTTTAGTTGTTGGATTTATATTTCGACGAATAAGAACTGTCGATTGTTATTTTATATTAAAGTGATGTTTGTGTTTTGATTAATTTAGAAAATCAAAAACTAATATATAGTAATAATGTAATATCACCAAATTTAATCTATGGTCTAGTTAAAATATATTACCCGCGAGTACGTGGGAGTATCATATACTCAAGGAGTATAACAATCTGACTCTTGTACAGGGGCGGATACATGCTGCTTTAGAGGTGTCCCGGGACACCCCTAAAATTTGGTAAAACGATTATTCAATTTTCGGTAGTAGTTTCGTAGGAATAAAAATAATACAATTGATAATTCGAGACACTGCTAAAATTTGAAAAAAACCCGATTATCCTACTCTCAGTAGTATTTACGTATGATTTAAATATAAGTGATAATCAGTGTTGTTCATACCTGGGACATTACTATCATTAAACATATTCTCTATTAGCTTGCAACTCATTTGTTGTTCAATTTTGAACACTATGTAATAGTAAAAATGCTATTCCTTATCCCCGACAATTTTCAAAATCTAACAATTAAACTAATTATGGGCTACTCTTAATTTGAATTGATTTTATGGTTGCACTGCAAGTGTTGAAAGAGTCTTTAATTTCAACTTTGAGTTACATAAAAAACAAGGTTAGAAATCGGATATGCGATCAGTTCTTGAATTATTGTCTAGTAGGATATACATATTTGTTGAGCAGTATAAACACTGAGTTAATTTTATATTCTTTTTCAAAATATGAAAAACACGTCGTGGCCTTTTACTAAAATTTGTACTAGTAAGATATGTTATGATTATGAATTACTTAATTTTAATTTATTTTTTGGACGAGGACACCCCTACAAAAAATTTCTGGATCCGCCACTGCTCTTGTATATATATGATTTGGTATTTGGTGCACTTATTTTTTTGTTGTGTGCCCGCAGGGCCGGCCCATGATATTCGGAGGCTTTGTTCGAAAATTAAAATGTGGCCTTTTTTCTCTCATAAGTTTATTAAAAATAAAAATTATTAAATAAATAATAAAATACATAAGTTTAAAAAATGATTACAAAATAAGTAATATTACCTATATTTAAAAAAAATTAACAATTGTCTAGTATTATTTGAAATAAAATACTCTATTAACTCTTCCATATTTGCAGCATCCAAGAAGTTATTCTCAATTGCGAACATCGCTAACCCATTAAGTCTATCTTCTGTCATTGTAAAGCGCAAATAAGACTTCAACAACTTCAACTTTGAAAAGCTTCTTTGAAAATCATCATCAAAATTAATTTGATCCACCATATCAAAATTTGAAGTTTTAAAACAATCAACAAAACAAAAACGAATACTAATTGCCTGCCAGATGATAATTCCTTCTTACCGTTTACATAAGATATAAAAAAAGATTCATTTTTACCATTGATGTCCCATGAAAAGCTTTTCTCAGTGATTAAGTGTAGGCCCATCGTTTAGTTGGTGATAGTAACTTTGTTTGCCAAGCAATTTTAGCAAAGAATGATCTTACCTGAAGGCCCGTTTAAGTTATAGATTAATTAGAGGCTCATCATTTAGTTCAAACAACTCACTTTGTTTTCTAACTTCAAGATTCAAGAGTCAAGAGACACCTTACTTATTTGTGGGTCTATTAACAGCCTAGAAAATACTTCCACCGAGGCCCTCAATCTTATGAGGCCCTATGCTGGTGGGCTTACCAGCACAGGCCCATGGCCGGGCCTGTGTGCCCGTTATGCCCCGTCTCATAATCGTCATCTAAGCAATCGAATAAGGTAAGAGTAATGTCCATCGTCATCAGTTGTGATAAGAAGGATAATATTTATATGCCTGAGTTTCCACAAGAATCGTTCCATATTACTTTGATTTGAAGGGTCTGGTGATCTGCGATTCTGGGTTTAGGCTTCACATTTAAATTTTTAGAATTTAAAGTAACGCAGAATTTAATGGTTAATAATGATATGGTATATCGTAATCCATATATACATTAAGTACGTCTTGACTAATCAATTAATTGACAGCACAAAACGTTAAAATAAGAGAAAGATGGAGCAGCCAGTCAGTCAGGTCCCTTTGCAATCTGACCCTTGCCGTAATCCTTCCATTATTCCAAATGAATCTTTTATGTGTATTAACGTATATGGTTGGCATTATTATGCAATCATATATTTTCCACACAACGCAAGAAATAATGCCTACAAAATTATAAAGTCTTGGCTAAAGACCAGACATTGAAATGAATATGCATATGGCTGCGTTACCACATGTACCCATTCTACTACTCGTATCAACATAAATCGATGAAGACCAGCGGCGGATCCAGAACACAGAAGAGCACTGGGCCGCATTTCATTAGAAAATTAGAACCGTAAAAAAAATAATGATTATAGTTTTTTGCAATGTAAATTGTACACAACTATATTTTAATTTAGAGAATGCATCAATAATGAAGTCTAAATCCATACCAATAGTATACACTGTTTCAAATAAAATACTTGAGCAATCGGCAGGAAATTCATCGCTCATTTTGTTGAGCAAATCAGTTCTCACATGTTTCATTGTTAAAATGGTTCTCTTCGTAGTAGCTGTTGAAACGAGCAGCATCAACACTAGATAAATTAATCGACTAATCAATTTACATTGTGTGTCCATCCCTGCACACCAAGTGCTTTAGTAAATTTGTAAGGGAACAAACCTCACATTTCTTTTAGTCTTTTACGTTTTTAACTTTTTATAATTTTAGGTTTCATTGTTTTTTTAAGACGCATAATCTTTGGGGCTAAAATTTATAGGCTAAATTTAGAATAGTGATTTGAATATGTTCAACTTGATAATTTTTCTAGTTAAACCCAATCTTATCATAAATAACACTGGATTGAATGTCTAAAATCAAAATTTTCATAAGGACTATAGTAACTACGGATCCAGAGAAGGGCTGGGCCGGGGGCTGGGGTGGCCACCCCCTGGATCCGCCAGTGATGAAGACTTGACCTCGTAATTAAAAGACAATACCACCAACCACAACTTACGATTTATTGTGAATTTTTGTGGTGATTCTCAACTGCTAGTGAGACGCGTATCAGCCGATGATGTGGAGCACAACCCAGGAGGAATTCTCTTGAAAGAAATCGGGTTGTTGTCTACAAATTTTTACTCTTTCCTTCCATATTTTACGCTTCCGTGTTTCTTCAGGTTTATCCATCTTCATACACAAAAAGCCTATTCGTCGATTGTTCGATTATTTATCAATTACCGCGTCTAGTTATTCAGTTTTGTCATTAGTATTCCTGTTGGTTAATTTTAGCCTGTACGTCAAGATCACGTCACGTCGGATTGCCCTGCTGACGTTCATCACAATTGCAGGCTTTTTCCCCAACTGGATTCGTAACTGTCCAACATATTCTGTTGGGCCGGGTATTCTAAACATTCAGGCCCAAAATATGAACGAACAATTCCCTCCGCTTGCGACCCAAAATGGAAAATCTCCTCCACAGAAAAGAGTTCCTGGACTGGAATCGATCAAAAGAAAAAAAAAAATATAGACGAAGGCAGAGAGAGAGCAAAAGACGAAAGGAAGTAAGAAGCTTATCCAATGGCAGCTCTACCAGCTCCGCCGTCTCTGCAACTCTCCACCACCTCAACAGCATCAACTCTCTTCCCATCTCCGCGCGTATCCTTCCCCTCCAAACACCGGCGACAGGCCTCCCCCTTCCGCGCCACCGCCGACGAGAACTCCGAATCCTCAACGGAACCCGAATCCGCTCCTCCGAGCTCGGACTCCTCATCGGACCCCTTCGATTCCCGCATCTCCAACTTCCGCGTCCGCTACAGAGCCGGAACGGGGAAGAAAGCGGAGATGCGCAAGGCCAGAAAGCAGGCAGCCTCGAGCTCCTCCTCCTCCGGAGCCAGCCTCTACCTTCCTCCGGTCCCGCTGAAGCAGCCGGTTTCCGGTGGCTTGAAAGTGGAATTCGGATTCACGCCGTACAGCGAGAGGCTGAACGGCCGGATCGCGGCTCTGGGGCTGGCGGCTCTGCTGCTGGTGGAGCTGGCGACCGGGAAGAGCGTGCTCAACTACCACACCCCGTCGATCGTCCTGATCCAGATCTACTTCGTGGCTGCGGTGTCGGCGGTGTACATGAAGTACGAGAAGGAGAAGATCAGCGTCTGGCCGGAGTCGTCTTCGTCGTCTCCGGCAAAAGAATAGCGAGCCAAACAGAGCAATGTGGACCTTGAATAGAGCGGTGATCGGATTTTCTGAGTTTCTGATCTTCTTTTGTCAGGGAAACAATGTAGCTGAATCAGTTCATCAGGTTTGGCTGTACAATTTACCTTAATCCAAGTGTGTAAAGTCGCGACTGGAATCTGGATATTGAATCGAATGCCTCCAGGGAAGGGTTTCAAAAGATGAAAATAAGATACAATTGATCTTTTCGTATTGGCTCGAAAATGTTAGTCTGTTACCTATACCTTCTTACAGCTTCACTAACAATGCATAAACTCAACACACATCTAGTGACGCACAGATTCCTTTGCTACACTGTTCGACATAACCCTATTTGAGATTCTCAGGTCAGTGGCAGGGAAATTGTCACCCTTTCCTGAGCTCGTTCGAGGGACGTGCAAGATTCGCTGTGGTCTCTTTCCCACTGATATCTTGAGCTAGCTGGTGGGAAGCTACAAACAATCAGCCTACTGCATTGTTACGAGGTACGAGCCAGGAAATCGTTGACAGCCAGGCTAGAGTCTCCATGAGCAACCGCATCTTCAGGCTCCGGCATGAACAGAGTGGACGAAGATGCCTGCAGGATCCAGAATTGATCAAGCTCAAAACAATACTAGTAAGCTTTAAAATGAGTATAAAAGCTATACAAATGAATAGAAAGAAAGACTGCAATTACCTTCGCGTCGAGTTGCATCTCCCCGGTGTTGTCTGTGATCAGGCTAGCACCGTGCGCCTTCAACCATTCTAAGCACTCGTCCAAGCCAGTCAACACCTTCTCCCCATTTCCTTCAGCAGTAGCATTGGAGAAGCCCAAGATCTGTGCAATGTACGAAATGGGTACCGTGGGGCGATATGACTTAGACATGCAGACTGCAGCTTGGTACCGCATCTTTTCAACATAAAGATCTGGAAGGACACGAAGCATAAAGATCCCATGATTATTCAAGTAATTAAGGATCTCAGATTCTCTAATGGAGGTGCAAAAGAAACAATGATACTAACCCATCAAGCAGGTGTTTAAGTTGGGAGCCGACTTGTACAATTTGAAGAATGCAACGTAGTTTCCAGAAGTGACGGCAGCACGAACTGCAAGTGCATGTTTCACCGCAACATCCTCCTTCGCTTCTTGGGTTAATCTGTAAATCTCAAAACAGCAACATTTCGGTTAGCAGTGTGGTTAAATGTGGATACAAATTGGGAACAAAGAAAACGTAGAAGGCACATGTTTTGAGCCCATGAGATTTATATTCAAGAACGGAAGCGATAGAGAAAATAGGATCAAGGCAATAAACCACAGTATTTCTGGTACCCTAACACTAGTCTGATTGTACTGTACTGGTGACAAAGCTGGCATGGCTTTCTCCATGGTTTGTGAAAACTGGATATCAAACTAGTGACACTAACAGATCAAAGTATAATAAAAGTACGATAACAAACATTACAAAAGCCCTAACAGCTTCATCAATGGTACATAGCTTAACCGGTATAACCGACCTGTATGGTACAGCATTACAACACTGGTTTTATCTTGGTTTTGTACCACTATTCTGCCTTGTAACATTAGTCTCACCAGTTTGATATCTGGTACGGTTGTGTAATCCATGGATAAAACCTATATTTGATCCTCAAAGAACATAAAAGGCCACCAGGCGTTATTTTGTGTCAGCGATCTTAAGGACAACCGTGGTAATACGGGCATCCAACAAGATGGCATGTACATCACCGGAAAGACTCCCCACCATTATGACGAAGCAGTAAAAAGAACATGAAGAAATACTTACAGAATCTAAATATAATGACTAAAATGGAGAGCAGACCTACACATCCGAGTGCCAACATGCTGCAGAATAACCTCTTACCTTGACATTGACGTCAAAAGATCTCGTTTGTTATTAGAGTGCAAGATAACGCAAAGCAAGTTGTAAGCTGCAAACTCCATGAGGCAGCCTTCGATTCCTTCAGAGTAGAGAATCTGTAACTGTGACTGACACTGGGAGGTTGAAATAAAAAGAGTCAGATCTATCAGAAAAGCAGAGGCAGCTGGATTGGCTTCTTATATCAAACTTCAGTTCCGTTGGATCTAAGGTTCTAAAAGATCAAGGTCACATTCCCATTGCCTTGAACAAATTATGAACAAGTAGACATGCATCAGCATAAGCGAAAAATAAAACACCCAGAAAGGAATACCAGCTATGCCTTCAAAAAAAGGTAATTGTTACTCGCTGCATGAATGATTTAATAGTTGTAAAAAAGAAGCAATTGCTAAGTCCAAACAAAGTTCAGACAACAGATCGATCATCATTCTTCTTTTCTTTTAAACTTTTCTTATAAGCTGAGAAGGTCTTTCTTTCTACATTTTTCTTTTTTTATCATCAAACTCAGACTTCCTAACACTCGCATGTCAGCACAATGTCTAGTGAACCCTCATTTGAATCGCATATATTTCAGATCCACTTATTCCCAAAGCACATCACATTTCAATTTACAAATAAAACATGAATTAGAGACGAACCTGATTAAACTCGGCCAAGTCCCCAACTTCCATTGCTAGTCTTGCATGCGTTTCATATACCTAAATGAATATGCGATACAACCAATATGGTTAAAACATACAAATTCTGATATACATGTACATTACAGATTATAAAAACCGTGACGTCCAAAAGTGGCGACTGCATAAGAGAATCCAAAAACAAATCTAAAGGTAACATACAAAACAGCAAAACATTTCCGGAAGGACTAAAAATCATTAGATAACTGCTGTGCTCAAGGGGCCTAAGGATATCGAGACATTAAGAATCTATGAAAATTAATTACTTCTAGCCTTACATATACTTTCCCTTTCACGTAAGGTCATTGGAATTGATCTTCCACACAAATTAAAGAGTCAATCTCACCACTGAAATTAATAGACCATAAATATTCCCCCACTCAATAAAGAATGTATAATCCAAAGCATAGAGAGTTCTTTCATATATTGAATGATAGAAATTGCACCTTAACAGTTAACTGATTCCTTATCCTCTGTACAGTAAGATCCTGACGGATAGATTTCAACTGATCGCACTTATAAAGGTAGTTCTTTTGAGAGTTTTGAACCATTAACAAAGCTTTCTCTAGTACATCTTCTGGTCTCACCTACAAAATGTACATATTTCACAAAATTAAATATGTCTACGCCATATGATATCGCTTAAGCAAGGAAGTAGATAAGACCAGGACAAGGCAAAATAAGAAATACATACAGTGGAGGGGTCAGGTGCAGAAGTGAGACGCAGAAACCGTTTTTCAATTTCCTGGCATGTTCCTTTAACAGTGAGCGCGTCCCAATCAATGTCTTCGACAGCTTGGTTTGCACTATCATCAAAACTCTTACTAAGCATCAAGGCACTAGCTCTTTTGGTATACAAGTTTGCAGGACCAGCATTTTTTGGTTTAAAGTAATTGATATCCGGGCGATGCCCTTGTCCTCTTTCAAAACGCTTAGAGCGACTTTCTCGTCTCTTTTTTTCCTCTGGGTTATCAGCCAATGCCATTGCACCAGAATAATATGCTGTCAAACTTTGATCCTTGTCACCGTCACTTGATGCATCATCATCATTATTAGTTAAACCAGCACCATTTACAATACGTTGCCTCTTCATGGGCCTCTGGGCACTTTTGCTAGGTGTTTTCTGGTGTGATGCAGAAAATCTGAAACTACTCAAAGAATTATCCTTGGTAGCGGAGTAACCATTGAAAGTCTGCAGTGATAATAAATAAATAAATAAATAAATAATAGAATAATAGCAGAGTGAAAAAGTGATTCAAATAAATCAAGTTAAGCCCATTCGGAAATCCAGAAGAGTTTAACATGATTACCCTTTTGTCCCAACTACCAAATTTTCCTGTCTCGTTACTAGCAGAATCCGGTTTGTCCAGCATTTTCACCTCAGGCAAAGGCTCCCATCTGCTCTTAGACCGCCTGATTGGACTCTTCTTATAATTTGGTATTGCAGCAGGAGTTGGACTTTGTATATTTCTGCTAGCCAGGAAGAGCACAAATATTATTGCTGTAATTAGAATGAAATTTCAGATTTATATCATAGGGATGGGAAGCGGAAGAAAATGGCTTGCTGGTGAGAATTCAAGATGGAACACAAGGTATACATGTCCCAGATGAGTGTGAATATGCATGGAACGTACTCATTGTTGACGGAATGAGAATCTGGTAATGTGAAAAGAGGCATACTATCCCAATCTCTAGTATAAAGCGTACCCTCAGCAATGGCTTCGGTGATGATCTGAAGTACCAAGAACACGTGTCAAACATATCTGATAGCCCACAGTAATAAAAGTCCCCAAATCTTAATGGTTAAAACAGGTCATGAAAATACCAAAGATGATTAATCTGTGATCTAGATTAAGTTGTAACAGATTACATGAATGCTGTGTCAATGAGAATCTAAGTCTAATCTTTATCTCCCAGGGTCTCATTAGAAGGAATGATAATTAGTTGAACTTACCTCCTTCATAAATGCTTCACAAGCTTCTCTTTTCTTATCATCATCTTTATATCTCCCAAAAGCCCTTTCAACATAACCACATAGTGACTTGGGGTACATGGTAGGCTGTAAAAAAAGTTGAGTTGTTACAGTTTGTAGAGATATTATCCAACGAACAATTTTGACTATCAAAACTCGAAACATGATCACGTTCGAAGCCGACACTTGCTCACATAGATCACACTACAAAGTTATATATGCCCGTTAACTGTGAGAATTCAAAAGTCAATGGAACACATAGTTTATCAATGAAATCAGTGAAGAATGTACATCATCACTGTGACATCTATGACATTCTGCCTTTAGAGGTAGTAACCCCAGAGGTTTAAGCCAGAGGACCAGGCTCTGTCCAAAATTCAAGGAATGGATGAAAACATGTAAAAACCAGAGGTCACTCCGCCCCGACATTACAGTTTCCGTTTGATTAGGTAGGTTCAACTAAGAGGACCACCCTCCATTTCAAAATGGGATTAATTACATGTATAA